AGTGATAGAAAATCTGAAACATGAAAACAGACAACAATAAAAAGATCAAACTGCAATCTTTGCAGTTTGGCTGTCCTTGCTGGAATTACTATTGACCAGTTGGTCTTTTCACCTTTGAATACAGTCCTGATGAAGGGGGAAACTGTAGCCTCCGAAATGTGTTGGCTGTCTACTGGAAGACAATGGCAAAGTTCAGAGTTTCTGCAGTAGTATGTATAGAAATGTGAATTCTCTACTCGCCAAGAGGTTTTGGTGTGTGGCGATGTCAGCGGCGATGGAGATCTTGTGGTGGTTTGCAGGTGTAGAAGTGTTTCAAGTCCTGATACGTGAGGTTGGCTGTTCAGGTGGAGGTGTTTGATGGACGAGATCAAGGTCAAGATCATACTACTGCAGAAACTCTGAACTTTGCCATTGTCTTCTTTCCACATTGGTTTTCGACCAGGATTCCGCGCAAGGATCAAGACAACACCTTGTGACGCCCTTCTAGTCCCAAAACGTGACTCCACAACCATGCCAACAGAAGTGTCCCATCACCACACCACCCATCACATCTAAGTGCTCAACATCCCCTTTCACCACCCCACATATACACATCCTCATTTACTCATCATTCCCCATCCACACACCTGGCACCAGACTGTTGCGCTCCTGCCCTCTACTTTTTCCTGTGCTGGTAGAATCACAAAGTGACAATGAAAGGGGAAAAATAAAAGGGAAAATTAACCTAAAAAAGAAAACGAATATATCCACCACATATAAGGACTGTAAACTTTAAAGAGTGCAATTATCCTATGAAGAAAATTCAACTATCTGCTTATAGTCCCTTTTTATATGGTAGCCTAAAGCTGTCCTTCCCTCCCACACAAAACACAGCGGGACCTCCTGACCAGGTGTTGCTTACATTACTTGGTTGACTAGAGTCTGTTAAGTGAAGTGTTGGCAATAGGGTAGTACTATATTTCTTTATCTTCCATTGAGGGACTCGGGATTGGATCTTGGAGAGTAGGCTTATACTGTTGCCTACAGGAGGTTCGGATGCTGGCAAAATGAAAAATGTTAAACCAGCCCTTATTTTATCCCTGTGTAAGGGTAAATGCCTTTTCAATTCTGTTTTTGATCGAGTAATACCTGCAACCTCTGGTGGTCGGAGTGTACAACTCTCTTAGCTTAGAAGGTCTGTAGATGAAGTGAAACAACCCCACTTTTCTCTTCTACAGCGGTACCTCTGTTCACAGTCTTTATCCCATTCTGGCAGCAAATGTCGAGGCTATAAATCCTCAATATCATCTGCTCAGCACTTTGTATAAACATACACCCCCACATCCTTTATGGGAGACTGGTGTTCTGCTATATCACTTATTATCATTTGTTTGCTTTTAATCTCCTTCTTTTTTTTTTTTTATGCTCAGGATTGCTCAATCCTAAAACGTAGATCAAACCCCTTCATTTCACTTCTCTTTTGGCAGTCTTGCACCCCATTGTTTTTTTTCCCAGAATTCACTACACATTATGTACCCTGATTTATAGGATTCCTACCCTGATGGAAATCCTTAATTGAGTAAGTCATCCTACCATCCATTACTTGGAAAATTGGGCAGAGCTAGCGCTGCCCAATTTGTTTATATTTAGCCGGCATCTGTTAGAATGTCATTCTGCAGCGGGAGTTTGTCGCGTGCGGACAAGTTGGTGGGACATCAGGGTTTTTAACATTTATTTTTTTTTATTCTGCAGAGTTGTCGTTGTGGACAATGCTGAACGTCGTGATTGACCTTAGGATTAACTTCGGCTCAGCCCGATTCAGAGCATGTTCGGCTGACCGAAGGCAGCCGATGTACTGATGATTTTAGCCAATGTATGGCTGAAATCTGCCGTAGAGAGCCGAAGTGAATAGCCGAATGCTGTTCGGCTCAGTTCACTTCGGCTTGGTTATTCACTCGGCTGCCTTCGGCAGCTTAGTGAATAGCCCTCATAGAGTCCTTTTACCTGAGGGTTTCTCCTTTTCTTTGCAAGGAAACTTCCATTCCTACTTCTTCTGCACCTCCTTGGTGGGTCAGTAGACAAAACTTTATTTTGTCTGACAATAAACTTTCCCTTAATGGGACATTGTATGTCTATGGGCCTTTGTTAGACCTGCTCATTAGAAAACACTTCTTCAAGTTACCTTTCACACTTCTTATTCCTAGTGTTCATAAGGGGATGCCTAAACCTAACTCCACTGTGGTGGATTCTACCCCAGGCCAAAACCTACTGATTCCTCCAATCATATAAACTGGTTAGGCAGGTTTTAATGTGGCTATCACATTTTTGCAACAGTTTTAGGTATGAAGCCACAGGATTCTTATTATCCTGCTGTTCCATTTTAATTATTGCACATAGATGTATCATATTCATACCCATCTCCTTTATAGATGACCTATCTAGTAACATAAGCCAGGTATTATGGAACGCACTCTCCCTGACGTCATGGCGCATGGGTGCCTACGGCTATTTTTCTATTTGCTTTATTGACATACCTTGTCTGTCCTAGCCTCTCTTCCCTGAAGGCAAGGGTTTGGTTGACAGCCTTAACCCCTTCATGACTGAGGCCCTTTTTTCAATTTTTGCACCCATACCCCAGGAGTTGTTTTCATTGACCAACTTATCTGTTGGTCTGAGTTACTTCCAATTGGTAAGTTGACGTTTCTTCGCCAGCAGGCTGTGCTGCAGTTAAAATTTGCCACTACAGATCTGTCTGTGAAAAACCTGGAAAATGCATTAGAAGGGAGACTCCACCATATTACTATTTTCTACATATAAGGAGGTCTTTAAGGCAAATATCTATATTATATAAGTAGACAAGCAAAGAAGGTGCTCAATCCTTTAACCTGGATTAGCTGGGTGGGTGTGAACCCAGCATCACAGGTAAGAGGGGACCAAAAAGCAAGAATGTGGTTATTTTGTGTTAACGGATTATATAAGTGTCCATTTTACCTACTACAGTATTTTTAGGAGGCCCTTTCACCTAGAAAGTCAGGGATCAGATGTCACCTAATGTCTGGCTGTTGCTACTGTGTCAACTGTTTGACTACATGTATCCTCTCCCAGCTTCAGAATGAGGATAATGGTATAAAAACAAAGGCCTTAAAAGAGAACTATGGGGTAACCTTTTTCATAGTTTTTTTTTCTAGGGACATGGGAGGATATATACTAACCTCCTCCCGGGACCCAAAGCTCACTATATAGTGAGCTATTGCTTGCCATATACTGAGAGCGCCGCAGCCGGGACGGATCCTGACAATACTGTCGAGATCCACCCAGCTGGCTGATTGACAGCGGTCTCTGCCTATCTAGAGGAAGAGCCAGCTGTGCCTGCCCCCTCCCCGTTCGTTCCTCCAGTCAGCGCTGTAGGATCGGAGATGATGGAGAAGTGAGCGAGCGACGGTATGCGTTCGCTCACTTCCCGATCTATTGAGCCGGCGTGTGACAGTTTCATGCTAAGGCATCCTAGCAGTTATAGCTACAAGAAAATGTTATTGTTACCATTGTTGCTCTTATTATTTGGGTGTGTGTTATAATTTACTATTCGGAGACTTAGTTTGTGTCCCATAAGATGTTCAGCTGAATTTATGGTACAATTTTCTTCCTCTACTGTAGTTATTATAGAAGCGGTGATTTCGCACTTATAGTTGTAATATTTATAGACTTTTAGAAATGTACCAAATTCTAGATTGATTTTTATTAATTATTGAATCTTGTTAAAGCTGTATTTCCTAATAATAATTGTTTATAAACACATAAAATAGAATAATACCCGATTATAGACCCCAAATGGGCTATATTACCAATATAATAAAATACAGTACAAGCGGTGTATTGAAATCAATTTAATTTTTTACAATTAAAAAAATGCAATCACTGTAGGAACTGTCATTTTAAATATATATATATATATAGTGTTTGATAGTGTTGATCTGAAATTTAATACATGATTTGTCCATTGTTTCTTCTATAGAAATGCAATCATCTTCATTCTCATGGACTATGACAACCTTCTTGCAGTAATTTTCCTACAGTACAGTCATCTGTTTACATTTAATAAATGTGGCAGTATAAGGTGGTTAAATATATAAGTTTTGATTGGAATATTTAATTTGTGATTGTTTTAAGAACAAAACCATACATAGCTTACAAATCCATCTAACTGTACAGTAGACCAGCCTCCTCAGGTGTGTCAACATTTTGTGGTAGTGGGACTGTAATGTGAAGAGGGGACAATGAAGACTGATGTGAAGGGGGGCTCCCGATGTGAAAGGGGGCTCCCGATGTGAAAGGGGGGGCTACTGATGCATAGGGTGACTGTGATGTGAAGAGGGGACAATCAAGACTGATGTGAGGGGAGGCTACTGATGCAAAGGGTGACTGTGATGTGAAGGGGGGGATCTTAATGTGAAAGGGGAAATCCACTTTATTTGTTTTTCATGGGGTTTCCCTTGCAAATCTATGACATTTTAGACTGGGGTGCCTCGAGATTTTTCATACTTTTTAAGGGTGCCATGGCTAAAAAAAGATTGAGAAGCGCTGCAGTAGAGCTATAGTCTTAACATACCAGCCTGCTAAATTCCCTAAATAGAACCATTTGGGTCAATGGCATCTGGTTAACAGCAGTTTGAGATGCATCTTGGATAATTTTGAATTCATGGACAGGTGCATTTGACCTAAGTTGACCTGCTGGAAGCTGCTTTTGCATTGCAATAGAAAGCATAAAATGCAAAACCCGTCTGATGTGAACAAAAACCCATCGACACAGTCTCTAAAACTGTTAACTCACAATAGCTAGCTTGCATTCCAGGACCTGACACTTTAAAGAAAAAATGTTTTGTCCCTGTCCCCATCACTGGCCATACACTATACAATCTGCACTACACCTGTATATACACATACTTATACCTACACCAAAACTCAGATACTTGACAATGATTATGATGGCATTTCAGAGACTGCCAGTCCCCGCTGGAAAGACGTTAATCCTGGTGGAGGCGCCTCACGGTGTCCAATTCTTTTTGCATACCGAAGAGCGTGTCGTCCTGATCAAGTGGTCCTAAACATTTCACAATTTCGATAGAGAACTGTTGAACTGTTAAGAACCACTGAGCCAGGCAGACAATAATTAAGTGCGAGTACAAGTTCCAGGAGACTCTGGGAGGAGGCCATCCCCGCCCTCCTGTGTAATGTGGACGAGCAGCATTCAGATCCCAGACACACCTAGGACAGAACAGATCATGTTAGTAATAAACACTGATTTAATTACACCTTAGACAACAAGGGCAGAGAAGTCTTGTCTCAGCCTTCTGATCGCTCACTGAAGACCTGAGCCTCCTTAAATCAACCTAAACCTGGAATTTAAGTAGTGGGTGACAAGTGGAGGACTCGAGTCAACTTCTAAATATCTCTGGGACTCCAGAGAATCTCCATATTATAGACCTGTTGCTGCTTCCTACTGCACCAGAGGGAGTCTCACTCTTACTGCTGCATTCTCTTACAAAGTAATCCAACAGGTAGAATAAAAAAAAAAATTGTGGGTGGACATTTTACATTCTAGGATAAAATTTAAGGTAAGAATTATGTGACTACTAGCAAATTAAAAGGGTTAGTCATGTCAAAATGTACAATTTTGTTTAAATATATGTGGGCTTGCTGAATCACGATCTCCACACTGCTTTTATTTTCACACCAGTTTGGTAGTGTGAATATGAGTGTCCTAATCCGCAAAATGTTTAAGGGCAAATCCACCCAAAACTTGTGCTTAGGTTTTTGTATTTTGGCAGATGCTGGTAAACTGAAACACAGCTGCCACCTTAAATGGGGGCACATGCTCTGCAACTTGGTTCTAAGCTCTGCCCACTTTCTGTGAACATCAGGAGGTCCTCTTTACACGTGGCTGCTCTTTGGAACTCACACTGGCAGTGCAGCTCTGTCACTTGCACTTCCCTAAAGAGTTGGTGCCAAAGTAAATGAACTTGCATTGCTAAAACAATGTTGGGGATTACTGAAAATGTTTTCCAGCTCACCCCTTCAGTGACTGACGTACATGAATAGCACAGCTCTTATAACTTATTGAATCCACGTAAGACACCTAGTGACCCCATTTAGCTATAGTTCCTGTATGATTTAAATATATCAATAAAATGAGAGGAAATTACGGCCCTGGGCCTCCGTCCCCCAATTAGTTTTTTTAATTTGTTTGGAAAAGTTAAGTAAGGAACTTAACATGTTTCCATTGGCACTGACTCTACCTTTTGCTCTTGTGTCTTTGGCTCCAGTTTTCGTTCATTAGCCCCATTGAATTTATAACAGATAAGCTACTACAGAGGTTCATGAACCACCCTGGTCTTCCCATAATTCATTGTTTTGTTCTGTGCATCTTCTCACCAAGGTGCAGATTATTTAGCCAATGCACCCACCACAGACATTGATGGTTTTAGGTTATTTTATCTTCAGGACTCCATTTACAAAATATACCCAGCAGAGTTCCCAGGTCAGCCATCTGCCATGGCCATCACAAGGGATCCCTCCTTTGGATGTTGTAATTTTATTTCACATGGTATAAAATTATAAAAATAGCTCCTCCTACTTTAGTAGCAGGAAGGAGGAGCTGGGGATGGAAGGGAACAGATAAATCATGCTGCTTGGCTCACTCTGAGATATTTAATGACCTGTATCCCCATGACAATCAGGCAATCAGTGACCTTTTTAGAAGACAGGGAGACCAAAGGCAGCCTCTGTTCTTGTTTAATTTAATCGGCAGTTCAACAGAGTGTAAATACAAAATGCATTTTAAGATGTGAGAGCGCTCGGGAACTTTGAAAATTGTAATGGGAGTTAAAGAAAAAAAAATAAGCACCAAACTAATTCATTGTATACTCATTGTCATTGCTATAGCTTACTTATTATCTCCTTATCTTTAAATGGCATGCAGCATGTTGTAAGAGTAAACAGACCCTGTTATATATTAGAATACTGTGATCTTTCTGTACTGCAGACATTGACAGCAACTACTACTAAAGGCCCAACAAAAGCGCACTTTGACACAAAGTGATTTACTAATTACATCAAATAAAATGCTTCCACCAAGTCTGTTTCTGTTGCCATTTGATGTCCCAATGTAAAACTACATTTATTCTACGTGCAGTTATTTTTCATAGTTATCTGCATGGCTTTGAGCTTCTAAAGCCTTGCAATTGCTTGCCATAAGGAAGGTGTCAAAATTAGCTGTTTTTTTCCACTGCTGGTTTCCAGCAGTAGTGTGGATGTAAAAAAAGGGAATCCATGCAGAAGTACCTTACAATCTGATCTGCAAAATGCTTCTAATCTACAGCATATGGGACAGAACACTTACAGAGGCTGCACGTAGACTCATGGTAAGGGTTCCTAACCCATGCTTTTCTGGTTCTGCCACCATTGGACTGCCCTTGGAAGCAGTGGAATTGTACTAGACCAGTGGTGGCGAACCTTGGCACTCCAGCTGTGCCAAAACTACAAATCCCAACATGCATCTGCCTCCGGGAGTTATGTCTGTGGCTGTCAGAGCCTTGCAATGCCACATGGGACTTGTAGTTCCAAAACAGCTGGAGTGTCAAGGTTCGCCACCACTGTACTAGACCTTGCTTGTGATAGTTTGTAGATGTCTAACTCACTGCTTCCTGCCCCTTTCAGTTATTGGGTCACCAGAAGAATGGAAAACAAAATACTGTACTAATTATTTTGCAGTTAGAATATCTTGCCCATTGAACATAGCTACCCTAGTCAAGTGGCTTGCATGCCTACTTTAATTTTAATGTAACCCATTACTCCACCGCAATATACATTTTTAGTTGACCATATTCATTGTCACACATTGGTTGAGTACTCATGGCTGCTACTTGAACCATTCTCTGTCCGAATGTTTTTTTTAACTTTATAGTGTACATGGTCATTACAATATATTTAGCATGCTAAATACAGGTGACCAAAGCTACCAGTTTTTATCACATAAAAGGGCCTTATACTGATAACATTGTTAAAATGTATACTACCCAATTAGCTGACCCGTTTCAAATCAGATGTAATCATTAATAGTAATCACATGCAGTATCCTCCATTGGCAAAAATTGAAGAACATTTAGATTGGATACTTTCCTAATAGCAATATATTAAACCCTTGTTGACTGTTTTCTTCTTAGCAATTCATCACATGTCATGCTATGACATTCAGCACTTCTAGAGTATGTCTTACAATGCTCTTCGCAAAATCGCCAGGAATAATTACTGATACGCTTGTTTCTACTGAAATACCTGCAAAACATGACTTGTAAGTGTCCCCTAAAGACTTCTCAGATCACTCAGCTCAGCAGGATTTCCCAAAGCCTACCTCTAAAGTACCACCTAGGATAAATACCTACATGCATTTTTTTTTGTAGCTCTGCTGTGCATTGCACTTGGCTAGCATGGAAACAATAAATGGGTATTATGCATTTTTAGAGAAGCCCACCTTGCCAAGTATAACATGTCCTATTGTCTTTTGAAGTTTCACATTAGCTAAAGGTTAGTGCATTCCTAAGAGAAATGTTAAAAGCCTATGGAACTTCCAATAAATGACATCAAATGGTTACTGTAATAATCCATGCCCGACAATGTTTAGAGGTTGTGCAGGATTACTGACAAGGAGGAAATGCATAACCACAAAAAATAGATAAGTGCCTGCAGGTACCAACACAATAGGTTGTCAATTATTTTTTCCCGTTGGGGGCAGGTAGGTGTCTGCCGGCTGACCGTTTTTATATGAAGAGGCAACAACATTAGACAGTCCATATTTTGTATGGAGAGTACCCAGGCTTCAACCATGGACCTTTTGAAGAGAGTACCCATGCTTCGCTTATGAGCCTGTGCAAAAGAGTACCTGAAAAAAACATTTGGATTATACTCATAGTTCATCAATGAGCCTGTGCACACAGTACCCAAGCTTCCCCCACAAGCCTGTGCAAAGTGTACCAATGAGCCTGTGCAGAGAGAGAGTACCTGGGCTTCCTCCATAAGCTTGTGCAAGGGGTCCTTACCCTAACTCAGTGGAGTTGGAATGCATGCATTGAGGTACTGAATAGGGTACAGCACCTGCATAGATCACATAAGTTGTCAAGGTCATAAGGATACATTCTCAGCTAAGCTTCTATTACTCACCTGTGTGCCAAGCTTCTCTGCTGCAGAATGAGCGTTTCTGAGCTTGACAAGAACAAGGACACTCCTTTTATATATGTAACTATCTGCTACCAAGCCATACCTATACAATCACAGAGGAATGCAACCCTCGCCTGACATGACCAGTTTTTCCAGGCTATTTTTTTTTTTTCAGGGTGTTTAACAACCATCTGAAGACTGAGCCAAACGTCAGAAGGCACAGTCAAACCTGTTTCAGGCAGCCAGTGAACTTTCTTCCTTAGAAAAAAAAAAAAGAATTTGCTCAACAGGTTTTTTGAAGAAGCTGGAGGTGGCTTAGAATGGGAGTGAGTGACTCCACCCAGGTGTAACTCTCTGACTAGCTATTAACTCTACAGTAAAGGGCCTGTGATTTTATTGTGCAAGCCTCTTGGATGTGTCGATGGGTTGAAGCAGGCAAGAAAGGTTTATCAATGAATCATGGCGTATGTCAGATGGGTGCTACTGTTGTCCTAAATATAATTAAGGTTAACACCTATAAACGTACGCTGTGATTTCCATGCAAAATGTATTTATTATGTTTTATGTTTATGTAATGCCAACGTAAAGTAGCAAATTAGAAAGTACATAGATCCTGCTATGTCCTGTCACACAATTACAAGCACACATACATTCTAGATCAGTTCAAAATTGAACTGCATATATAATGCAGTCTGTCCCTAGCTTCACCACAGTAGTTTTGGGGTTTTTCGCCTCCCCCTCCTGTTACTTGGTTTTTTTACTTTTTTTAAAATTTGATTTCTAGCTGATTTAGCTGGTCAGTGTCTCAAAGTAGTTTTAAACTCTCAATTTTGTTTTTCAGTAATAATTCCAGATCAAGCAAATATACAATATACATTGCACAGCAAAGTATTACTTTACATTTGCCCAAGCACTTACACTTCTGTTTCCCCATACAGCTGGCTCCAACTCTTTCAGCTCAGCTTCCCTGAACTGCCTGTTGAGTATACTATCCCAAGTGACAGCACAGTCTCCAGCAGCTGTTCACCTACTAGCTTGGAGAAGAAGGGAGGAGGGGAATGGACCTGATAGCTGTCTCTGCGTTTGTGAAGATGCACACAATTTACTAGCGCACAGAAGGGTGGCTCCATAGGACCCTGCAAGGGAAAGCAGACACCCTATAACGAGAAATCAGGGTCAGTGTTTAGGGGACCAGCTGATTCTACAGGAAGCTAAAACTTTTAAATATAAAAAGGCAGCATCCATTGTAAGTGATGTCATCAGCATAGGAAATCACTTAAAAACCTTTTGACGTCATATTACTTTAAACTGTAGATAGCCAGGCAACTAGCAATTTCATAAGGAAGTCAGCCATGGCAGTATTTATATATTTCTCTCAGTACAGGCTTCCTTTGAATTGTTAGCACTCGTTGTGAAGCATTGCAGACCTGGGTTTCTTCCCATCAGGGACATTGGCTGCATGGTGTTCATGGTTCCTGGTCTTTGAGGAGAGTTCCCCTTGCCTCTTGCCTTTTGTTTTGTCTGAGACCAGTCACCTAGACGGGAATTGAGAGGAAATCTGGCCAAAGGAGATTTATGCATTACTATATATGTCCATAGTTTGGAACGTGGAAAGTTTAGTGTTGGGAATCCACTTTACAGAGGTACCTTAAAGTGACACTAAACTCAGGAGTTCAATCTTAAAAATAAATTCAAGTACCTTTAAAGGAGAACTATGGGGTCAGTGTTTTTCCCCATAGTTCTCCTTAGGGTAACGGGAGGACACAAACTAGCGTCCTCCCGTTACCCTAAGCTACAGCTCGCGGTATACTGAGACGCCGGAGCGGATCCCGGCGTAGATGACGGGATCCGCCCAGCTGCGTGAGTGACAGCTGGCTCTGCCTATCTAGAGACAGAGCCAGCTGTACCCGCCCCCTCCCCGTCCGTTCCGCCAGTCAGCGCTGGCAGATCGGAGCGGGGAGAGGGGAATCCAGCCCCTCCCCCTGTCACGGCAGAGAGCCGTGGCAGGATCGAGAGCCGAGCGAACCCGGTATGTGTTCGCTCACCTCCCGATCTACTGAGCCGACCTGTGGCAGTCTCATTGTCACAGGTCGGCTAGAACTATGAGGTGAGTGAAAAGCACTTACCTCATAGTTCTACTTTAACTATTAACAAAAAGGGTATCTTATTTGTGTATCACTCACTCCTATGATGGACTGCAATTTCAAGTTTAGTTTACTAATTTGTGTTGAAATTTTAGTCTGTCACGGGAGCGAGCTTGGAGCGGTGACTACTTTACAACACACACAGGGACCATAGGGAATAAAGTAGTCACTCTCCAGAAGGAAGGACGGTGTCCACACCAATTCAGAGATGATTTAAGGATCTACAGCCGATTGATACACAAATAAGATACAGCATTGTAAATAGTTGGGGTATTTTAATGCATTTTTAAGATATAACTCCTGAGTTTTGTGCGCCGTTTTTGCAAATATATGCAACCTAAATCTGTCCAAGTCCAGGAACTGTCCAACACCTCTGCATGAGAGTTCTTGGCTTGATGGCAGCTTCCTTCAAAGCTGTCCCATTTTTCTCTCCGGACCCCTACAACACAACATTCTGTCATTTTTGGACAAATTGGTTCAGTCTCTTGGAAAACAGATTCACCTGACAACGAGGGCAAGGTGGACTTGGGCATCAGAGGAATCTCATCTCCTGGCCAACGTTCTGGAGCTCTGAGTGCTTTGGTTGTCCCTAAAAGGCTGGACACCCCAACTGGAAGCTCATTCCATCAGGATCCAGTTGGACAACACCACAGTTGGTGGCGTACATCAACCATCAGGGAAGAACCAGAAACAGGTGGCGGCAAGAGAGGTAAAAAGCATTCTAGCCTGGGAAGAACTCTGCGTTCCTCCCCTGTCTGTTCACACTCCAGGCATGGACAGCTGGCAGGCCAACTACCTCAGTCAGCAGTACCTGGATTCAGGGTAATAGGCCAGGAGACACAGGTAAAAGGACCTGTGTCTCCTGGCTTCCAGGTTCAACAACAAACTGGACAGGTTTGTCTCCAGAAATAGAGATCCAGTGGATGTTCTGGTGGCTCTGTGGTATCAGTACAGCCTGACCTATGCCTTTCCTTTTCTCAAACTCCTTCCTCATTTACTTTGCAGGTTCAAGATGGAGGGCATTCCAGTGATTCTCATAGTTCTGGATGTGGTACTCCGACTAAAACAGACTTGTGCAAGGCCTCCAATGGGCTTTTCCATGACCAGTGGCTTTAATTACATGGCTGTTGAAGCCCAGGTCATGAGAGACAGGGGCCTCAAATATTTGGTCATTCCCATGCTGTTTTAGAGTTAAGAAATCTACCTCCTGCAAGGTCTAGGAGGCCTCATTTCCACAAGGTCCTATTAGTGTTTTTGTTACTTTTGCCCATTCCTCAGTTGGACTGCTTTTTGGATGTTACAATTGTTTCTGAATAACTGAATCTTACTGAACAAGAAAGTAAACAAGGTTTTTGTATTTACTTTGTAAAATTGGGGGGGAATTCTGGTTCACACCTAGGCAGCATCCTTTTTGTGTGTTTGCACGCGTGTGTTAAGAGTGCGGTTATTTGCACTGTGTGTACATTTTGACGTGCGTTTTGACTGGCAACTTATGAAACATTGCGGGCAATTAATGAACGCATGTTTAAACGCGCATGAAAATGTGCAACATGCTTTTGCAGCGTGTTTTGGGGCATTTCCATTGAAGTCTATGGGGCAAAAATACGTAGTTAACTGCCTTATGAAGCTCATTGTACCTTTTTGGGCGTTTGGCGTTTTCCTGATGGCGTTTTTTGTTTCTCAGGTGTGAACAGGGACCATTGGAAATGATGGCATTTCTTGTGTTGAGCATTTAAAAGAACTTTTTCAACTGCTGAAAAACACCTAGGTGTGAACCAGGCCTAAATGGGTCCAACATGGTTGCTCCAAAAATACTATTTTTGTAACAATGTTCTAATGCTGGGTAAATGAGTGACCTGATCTGAGCTGTTTGTGACTTTCCTGAATCAGAACACAGCAGGGAGATGTCTTCACCGAATATAAAATGTTTATTCATATGAAACTTAGGATGCCTTGGATGCCTTGGTGGGTGTATCGCAAACACACCCTGGGTTAAAGCTAACACGCCTAGGATACATGATGAAACAGTCTAAGCATTCAAAGCCCTTAACCACTGAGGACATGTGGTTATCTCAATGCATCTCCACCCCAGAAGACCTCACATCAGGCCATAGAAAACTAAGATTGAAAGATATTCTGTAAAGTTACTTGTATTTTGTAATTTTTTTACTAGAGTCTCTGATACATTTCACTACCAGGGTTTGTACAAAACTATCTTCTGCCAATGCATGAAAGATCTAGTGAGATGAACTTTAAGCTTTATAAGCCCAGTCACACCATATCCAGTGCGTCACGGTGCAGTTCGCGCCCGGAACGCACTGGATCGCATAGATCAAGTCGGGAAGCATTCTGGGGTAGGAGGGGGTGCGTCGGTGCCATTCATGTCAATGGCACAGCAGACACACACGCAGACACACACACACACACACACACACACACACCCTCCCCCGCACTGGAACGTGAGGTACAGGAATGCCCTCCGCTCAAGTACAGTGCGATCTGAAAAAAATGCTGAATGCACTATTTTTTAAGATGGCACTACATTGGAACGGAGAGAGCATTCCTGTACCTCGTGTTCCAGTGCGGGTGATCGCACTGCGGGCAGGGGGCATGTCTGCTGTGCCATTGACATGTATGGTGACATGCCCCCTCCCGCCCCAGAACGCTTCCCGGCTTGATCTATGTGATCCAGTGCGTTACGGGCGCGAACTGCACTAGGACGCACTGGAACTGGTGTGACTGGGCCCTTAAGCCATACCTCCCAAATGTCCCTCATGTAGAATCAAACTCCTTTCCTCCTCTGTTGTCTCTCTTTTTGGTCTGATGTTCAGATATTTATGAAAAGTTACTATTTATCTACCAAAAGTGTTTATCTGCCCTAAAAAACCTTTATCCCATCTCTTAATTATCTTGTTTGTTATTTTGAAAAGCTAATATACAGGTAAAATTGTGGAAAAAAAATTGTGGGTTGACCCGATAATTTTTTAAATAAAGTGTGTGTGTGTGTGTGTGTGTGTGTGTGTGTGTGTGTGTGTGTGTGTGTGTGTTCTCTCTCTATGCATCAGTTTGCAACCCTTCCATAGAGATCTTTCACTATGATCAGAGTCGCTGGTTGGTCACCAGAAAAACTGCAGCCAAACAGGAAATGGTTGTTTTACCACATGGCCTCAAGCTGTTTTTTGGGGAAACTAGAAGGTGAGAGTAGACAAGCATCCCTGATGGATCCAATCCTAACGGCTCTGTTACAGATTATATATTTATTCCCCCCCCATTGTACGGCTCTCCATACCTTGAAGGGACTGTTACTGGTTTGAATTTGGATCTTTGTCTTTTGCTACTTGAACTGACCATCTGTTGGGTCTGTATATATTTCTAGTGCCCAACCTGTGGCCTCCAGTAGCCATTGTTCAGTGTTTACCCTGTCTAGGCGCTTACTCAGGCCAGTAAAGGAAAATCATTAATTAGACTGGTTTGGTTTATTTCTTTCAAACCTCTGTACCTTTTATTTGTTTCTCCGTTTATGTTTTTATTATACATTTTTAATGGATTTTGCTTAGAAGAATATTATAAATGGTGGCAGTCAGTGTTAAGAGGGCTTATAGGAAGCAAAATGTGCATTGATTTGTAAATAGGATTGTCATTGGAGGGATCTCTAGCTGTACCTAAACTGTCCGTACACTGTAAAGCTGGCTGTACATCTATAGTTTATGTGCAGATCTTCTATGGTCAGATGGAAAAAGTGCAACATGTTCCTCCATCTTTGCCACACTGTGTGGATGGCAGAATCTCTGACTGGGCCAAGCTTCAGTATCCTGCTAGTCGGCCCCGCTGGCTCTCAAAACACCTGAACTATCTGATTAGATGCCGGCATTGTTTAGGTATTTTGAGAGCCAGTGGGGCCGACTAGCAAGATACTGAAGCTTGGCCCAGTGGGAGATTCCTCCATCCACACATTTTAGTGTGGAATGAGGAATCTGTTGCACTTTTTCCATCTGACCATAGAAAATCTGCACATAAATTTCAAGCTAGCCATACACCTATAGATTAACAGCGTGGATGGATGAATCTCCTACCGGGCTGTTGTATTCTGACAGTGACAGGTGTGCTGATGTCAGAATACCTGAACAGTAACTGCAGCTAATATAGCGGATTCCTCCATCCAGACTTTGCCTCATTTTGGTGCTAGTGGTTTTGTGCTAAGCGGTTCAGACACACAGTGGACAGTCTTGCTGCAACAGGTGACCTCAGCCCATACTCTGTTTCGAGGGGTGATTTCCCGGTATCACCAGAAGGAATTGATGCTTGTAACCTAGATTCTTGAACCCCATTTATTATAGGGTTGGTCAAATTGGAGTGTTCTGTTGCTCCACGGGATGAGACTGAGACCTCCATTGTGTTCACAAGAACCCTTTATGTCTACTTCAATTTTATATTGGTTTGTTCAATTAATAGATCAATCTGCTTACAGAGGTTCTAGGCACTCCGGCACCATCTACAGTACGGTCTAATTGTAACCCTACTGGGGCCTCCATCTCTAAATGTGGCTGAGGACCCTCTTACCATCTCTGATTTAAGGTTTGGACTCTTCTACAGAAGAGATTGTATTTGAGCGAATTCTATATGAATTAGATTTACAAAGAGTTGTTTCTAACCTGATTGATGCCCTATGTTCTGCCCTGCATTTGGAGGGTCAGCCTGTTTCAGGTCATGGGTTTTTTAGAGTTCTTATGACTGCAAAGAACTTTTCTGTACACTCTGAGGGGAATTTATAAAACCTGGAGCAGCTGTGCATAGCAACTAATCAGCTTACATAGTTATTTGAGGATGAATAAAGACACATGTCCATCAAGTCCAACCTAGTGTGTGTGTGTGTGTGTAAGCCAGCTTCTCTTTTTGATTTCCAAATCTTAACTGAACAAACTGAAGAGAAAAGGCAATTGGTTGCTATGCAGAGCTGCTCCAGTTTTGATAAATTCCCCTCAATGTATTTAAAACATTCTTCTACAAGGACTGGAACCTACTGGAAACATCATGGGTCCCTCCTGACAATGTGAAGGAGCCTTTTCACCTAAAAAGGAATTTCTTGCTGAGTGGTCTCTCTGCCCACTGTACAGACTCTAGTCATACACCTTCACAAGCATACCGCCAATCAGGTTGACTGTGTCCTTACCGTTGGACATTGAGGGTTCTGCATGGGAGTGCCCCTCCTTTCTTCCTGGCAAGGACACACTGTTACCTGCTGCAGGTTTCTGGTAAGTGGGGTACTGAGAGTATGGAGGCATTTGTGGAACCTGACTACTGTAGGATAGATCCTCTTCTGTGACAGGGCTGTGTTGTTCTGAGAAAGTTTTTCTTAGACTCTTGTACTCTATTGGGTGAATGGTCATAGTAGTAGGGTTCTACCCCTCGCTATTTAGACAGAGGATTGTGCTCTTTACATGCATAGGCTATTTTTTCCCCTTCATTAAAGACTTGTACATAAAGCTCATTGCATAATAAATCCACCATTTAAGTATAGATCAGACTTTAATTTACAATTGTGTAATAAAATAAATCAGGATTGCTTGACGGCAGAGATGACAGGCCCTTAATTGATCATATATATTGCTGCACTTTGTACTAAAGTGACAATGCCAAGTTGGGTGGAAAAGCTAGCAGATTGACACTGTGCTGAAATTACCAGTTCTCTGTTATGTAAATGCGTTTGTCCTTACCTGCAAAGTTATTTATTGAACCATAAAAGCAGTGACAGGCAATATCCTGGATTTCTGGAATCTCTACCAGGGATGAGTGGGGTATCTCATGTAAGAATGATATAGATAAGCCAAAAGCTGAATGACAAACAAGTTGAACACCCAGACTTCATAAAACAAGAACAATTTGTTTTAAAGAAACCGCTTGCCAGACTGTGTTGCAGAGGACAGATGGAAATTACTCCTTTTCAGATCTGCTGCTATAATCTACAATACTCGTGTAATATATTGTAGATGCTCAACATGCTTTGTGATTTCAAGATCTATTAAACATTGTACTTCAATAAAGAGGCAGCAAAACAGAAATTATTTAACTAGATTCTCTAAAGCTTGCTAAATGGAAAAAAAAACATCAAAAACTGGATAAAAGGATTATAAAAGTTGACCATTTAGAGACTGCTGGTCTGGAATTTGTATATACTATATGTAAAACACACACATGCTGGCATATATTATATATTTTTTAACTCCCCCTGACTAGAAATGTAAGACAGTATGTTACATAATCTTAACCACTGCATTTCGTGCGCTGTATATTACATGCTCCTGACCCCCGGCACTGTATAGCCGATGTTTTACATTACATTTTTCCTTTTAAGTGTTCATGGTCTCAGCAATAAGAGACTATACACTGAGTGGCCAGATTATTATGACCACCCCATCAGTACTTCGTTGGGCCACGAGATGACTTCGTTGGGCCGCCTCGTGACTGCACGAGATGTTGAAAGGTGATGCGAGGAATCTGACACTGCACTGTTGCCCTTCTGTTGTCTTGTACCAGTCTTGCCACTCTCCGTTCTGCACTAACATTGACTAGTCGCTGACGGCCACAATTCACACGTTCAGACCCAGATTTTCGGCTGACAGTCCAGTCTTTAAACACTTTAACAACAGCTGCTCTTGAACATTTAACAAATTCTGCTGTTTTGCTGATACTCGCTCCATGGCTCCGAGCACCAACAATCATCCCACATTCAAATGCTGTTAAATCGCGTTGTTTACCCATATCTTCAGAAACAAATCACTTCTTCTGTCGTGGTAAACAACCTGCTTCCCTATTTATAATGGTCTGGCCCTCTAACAATTTCTGTGCTAAATTATAGCTAATTTGCCTACAAACGTCAGGTGGTCATAATAATCTGGCCACTCAGTGTATAAGCCCCCTAAGTGTTTCAATGAAATTGTTCTCGATGGGCTCAGACAATGTCAGTTCTCTGTGAAAAGAATAGCATATGAAACAGAAGAGTTTAGTTTTTTTAAATTACATTTTGTCCTGAGGTTTATAGACATCTATGAGTGTCACTTGTGGCACACTCATTAAGGAATATTTTGTGGGTATATCATCATATGCATGCAGACTATACTATGAGTAGAAAGTTTTTTTTTTTAACCATGTCCATTTAGGCCATGCCCAATATTTAGCACTATAGCTATGCCTACCTTTTGCAATGGCATGCCATGTTGGCAAGAGGGCCAGTAATAAATGTTTATATATAGATTGTCTTGCTGCACTCCTTACCGGTATACTGTAGCCTGCTGAAGCCAGGTGGGGGCTTGAAGTGACCATTGATGGCACCGTGAAATGACTTCAAAGTAAAACAAGAATGTCACCTGCACTCCAAAATGGGTGAAATCAGTCCATTTAATGACTCCGCATGTCATTAATGCACGCGCTCTCAGGGTCCCCCTTCATCAGGCTCAGAATGACATTCTGAGCCTGACTAAGGGGGACCCTGTTAAGCCCCAAAAGCGCTTGCATTAAATTGACTGATTTCACCTATTTGAGTGCAGGTGACATTCTTGTTTTACTTTGAAGTAATAAATGTTATTCCCATCTATTTGCCACCTGTGTTCACAGTATATCTTGAGCATTTACCAATTACCCATAAAAATATAACAATAAAACCTTTATATGAAAATTATGTAATTTTAAATGGTACCTATCGTCCTTAAAGGACAGGATCCCAAATTAACTGATATGGCTTATCTGGAAAAATAGAAAGTAGACAGGTTCCCCAAAGTTAGGAAGCTGCACTTTTGACCCTGATGGGCCTAAACAAAGTTTTTCCATCTGAACTCATGTTTTGGGAAATGAGAAGAAGCCTGCATGTTCGAACACCCTTTAGTTTGCTTGTGACACAGGAGCAGATACTGCTGACTTTGTATTTAAAATGCTAGTTGCTTGGCTCCTCGTATTTGATTATTGAAAGACATACTTAAAAACTAGCACATAAACTGATCCCAGGTAGGAATTTGGGAGTGCAGTGGGTTTGTATTGGCATTTATTTACTATATTTGACCTTTTGTCAAACAGCCAAAAGCATCAGGATCTCTATATCTGGTATGGGCCTTTTTGGAACTAGTTTGGCAGGTACAACATTGGAACACTATGTGAAGTTTTCGTTAGGCAAAACAGGTGCATATATTGAAAACAAATTGATATGGAGTTGACAGAGGCCCAAAATATGAAACCAGCAAAAATATCTAAAATTAGGTTCTTTTAAATGTCCCCTCTGTAGCAGCACATAAGGCATTTGTTTTATTGAAATATTATTAAAAAAATTCATTCTGATCAAATGGTTTCACAAAATATTTTATTGCTAAGGATCACAGACCTCAATAAAACAAATGATATAGACAGTTTTGTTAATACGGTTTTAATGAGCTGTACTATGCAGCAGACAATGTCTGTCATAATAGTCCTCTTTCGCATAAGTAGCCATTGTGTTTCTCTCCCTACCCAAAGATCAATAAAATTTACATTTGTGAACATACAAGCCACAAAAGAATACAATACCTCAAATGTGCAAAACATTCTGAAACACCCATAGAGTGGATGCCATATATGAACAAACGCCTAATTTACATGTTAGAATAAAAGAAAAGACATTCAAATCATCAAGTATGTGCTAACAGTAAGATATAACATTGACAAACCATACAGGAACAGTCACCGTTTCTGTAATTGAAATCCTTGCTGGTACTAAAGCCCAACTTCAGCCAAATCCTTTTATAACTCTTTGCCACAGTTTCTATCATTTATCAGGTTTTTATCACTCTCTGTATTCCTGTCCTGGTGACAACCACTCCCTCTCATTTCAAGTCCTGGTGACACCAGCACATGAAGTGAGAAAAAGTCTTCCCAGTGACGTCACTGACCGTATTAGTAAAAACAAAATGACTGAGGAACTCTTCCCTACTTTCTCAAAAGCTCCAGAGAATTTTGAGCTGGAGTTGGGGCTTTAATCTATGTGCTTGTTTAAAATATTTCTTCTATTTTTTTTTTAACCTCAACAAAAAAAACAAAATCACAAATGCAACAAAAATCAACACGGCGCATACACACAATCAGGGCCTTGTTTATTAAAGTATCTGGAAATAAATATGGTTTGAAATGACCAGAGAGCAAGTTGTAATCTTTTTGTTTGTGACCAGACAATGTGGACCATAATTTCAGACACGTAGATAAACGAGGCTTACAATGGTTGAGGGGGGTTCCTCAGGAACCCTGGTCCCTGTAAATACAGCTAAACGATAACTGATATGTTCCAACATTCGGACACCACAGGTTGTGCCATTTGTGCTTGAAAACAATAGTCTGTTGCCCTCATATCTTCACGGTTGTTGGGTTTTTTTAACTGCTTAAATAGCTGTCTTTGTCACTTGAGCTGCCGTTGTGGAAAACCTGCAACAGAGAAAACGTGATAAAATTAGTAACTGGATAGACGGGCCTGTCTGAATTTCTGCAGAAAAACGACCACATTTTGCATGGTACACCTGCGGTCTTCACCAAACATGTTTCAGTATTGTTATGTGTGCATCAAGGAGAGGCTTCTGTAACATGTAGCAGTATTTGTTTAAACAAGACATCCGTCGTGTCTTAGAGAACATCTCTTGCAATAAACTAATTTATCTAAAAAGATCTCCAGAAGTGAAAAGCTCTCAAAACTCCTGAATGTAAGGCTGGGTTCACACCTAGGCGTATCGAATATGCGCATTTGTCGCGTGTTTGGTGCCACGTGTCTGGCGGTAAAAAAAACGCACGTTTCCTAGGGCTACTTGCCTGTATCCCAATGGAAACGCGCGACAAACGCCCCAAAGAAGCTCCTGTACTTCTTTGGGCGTAGGGCGTTTTGTAGCGCGTTCATACGGCCTGTAATACGCCCAGGTGTGAACCATACCCATAGGAAATAATGGGATTTTGGTGTTTGAGCGTTTTGCAGAGCGTAGGAACGCGCTACAAACTAGGCCCGTTCCTGCCACTGACCTACCCCTCACCAACTGGGTAATGGCCTCCCAAACTACCCAACTGCTGCTCGTGTCTAGAGGACCGCAAGGAGACCTGATCTCAATTACAGCCTAAACACCTTTCCATGTTGCCTGCTTTGCACATGTTATAAGAAGGTACTAACTGAAACCGTATCCATGGCACACAGTGAACATTACTCTGAGCATGAGGTTATATTTGCTGCCTGGAAAGCCAGCTGTAAAATGAGCAGTGGGAGGACTTTTGTGACAGCTCTGCTTGCTTAGCCTTGAGCAGATATGTCAAAGTGGTATGCGTTGGGCCTCATGTGGCCCACAGCTGGTTTGAGGATTTAAGCTGCACGAGACCCCAGCTGTTCTGCACTTGATAAAGGCTATATACGACTTTAATTATTTGGCAGCTAAATACTTCAGGGATGTTTTATGGTATCTTTTACTGGGGGGAAAAAATGCAAGTTGTAATGATTACCAGAACAGTGATTGATTTACCTTTTTATGTATAACTTGTTCTGTGCACATCCCAGTGTTTCTGTGCACATCCCAGTGTTTCTGTAAAATGTGATGTGTCCACTCTAGAGACTAGTACGGATTGTGAAAGGTAAAGGGTTAAAAGTGTAAGTGGGTCCAATAAAGAGGACAGGGTGGGGGTTTTAATAGGAAAGGACAGTTGCGGCTCATGGAGAGGGAATGGTAGCTGAAGGTAGGTCTTCGGTGTATGGGGTATCACTCCCTGAGGATGTGCCTGTACACTAGGGGCTTCGCCTTTCTACCCATGGAGACTGCCAGTGCCTAATACTCTTTAACCCCTTCGTGACTGACGACGTACAGTGTACGTCGCCAGCATCGGGGCTGTTTAAACAGACTCCCGGCGACTTTTGCCGCCGGGACTCTGTTTAAACTTGTAGAGCCGACTGTCGGCTTTACAACAGAAGCGATCCTGGCGACTTACGCATGAAAACGACGAACGCGCTACACATGTTGGGTATCGCCGCGCACGCCGGAGTGAGAGCAATAATTCTAGGGCCAGTATTTTGGGGTATCTCTAAATTGATGACCTGTGGGGGCTTTTAAAGTGTCTTTTATTGACTTTTTGGGGTACTGCAGTTTTTCGCCGTTTCACGGTCGCACGCAATCTGTAAACTGGGCATGTTGGGTATCGTTTTACTCGTTGTAACCTCATCTTTTATATTTCATTAAAAAAATGGGTAATTTGTTGTGTTTTGGGGCATTTAATTAAATGTCACTAAATTTTGGGGTTTAATAAGGAGTTGCGCTAATATTGCGCAACATAAAAATGTTCAACTACCACCATTTTATTCTATAGGGTCTTGGCATTCAGAAAATATATAATGTTGGGGGATTTTACGTCATTTTCAGGCCTAAAATGTGGAATATAACATGGGTGCAAAAATGGAAAAAAGGGCCTCAGTCATGAAGGGGTTAAATGGTGGGGTGGGAAACTGTGAATTCTGCTGCTGACTGCACCAAGATTAGTAACACTTCTATGTGAAGGGGACTTGTATTTATTTAGATGGCATGTCCTTGTTAAATCCGGTAGTAGTACAATTTATGAAGGTTTTAAAGAGAGGGAGGGAAGCGGAGGTAGAAGGGTGGAGGCCTGTGATAAGCCTCTTGGAAAGAGGCCTTGATTGCGATAGATTGAATAATAAGGCACAATGGGAGAAAAGGGAACACTGCATGTGAACATCTTGATGAGACATGTCTTAACAGAGTGTAGGTGTGACACACCACCCTTAATGCAAGATTATTATTGTAGAACAGTCTTGTTTGTTAAAAATCAGAACGTAATCTGTAATAAGGCATTGGATAGAATGGGGTCATGTAACCTGTAAAAATGAATTCAAAAAAATATGGGGAAACCTATACCAATAGAGGGATTCAGCAGCAAATTTGTGACGTGTTATTACAAATTTCCAATACCAGCAACTTTGCACAGAATCAGTCTGGCTCTCGGCATAACAAGTTCTGCTTGGAATTTGACATTTCTTTGCATTCAGCTAATTAAAAACATCTTAAAGTACCACATTTCTATTTTTTTTTCACATTCAGTAATAATTCCACAGGCAATCATTAAGGTGCGATTTCTGAAAATCACTGCAACTAACAAGTGTTTAGGAGAAAAAAAATTCCTTCCCAAAAGTGACATACCATTCAAGATGATCACTAAATACTATACATTTCCATGTCACATATTAGTTAGAGGGTGATGTGGAAGCAATACGCCTCTTCACTGTCCCTGTGTGGTGATTTAGCAACAGAAAGTGTTTTCAATCCCCTCCCTGTCATTCATTCTGACCATCTCACTGGGGGGCCTTCTGACAAATATGTTCAGTAGGGCAAGCGTTGAGGGGTAGAGAATGCGAAAGGAAAATCACATGGCTGTATTTTCACAATGGTGGGGACTTCAAATATAATTTCTCACACGCGTGTCCCCTATTGGAAAATGGCCCCTTTCTTTCTAAGCTGGTGTGCTGTGTATCCTTACAGGAACACAGACAGTTTCTAACCTATCACCACCCTATCCAAAAAGAAAATGGCTTCAGATACACTTTATGGTTCTATCCCTCTATTCACACCAGGCGCAGTCCGTTCAGTTTGACAGCTGCATCCAAAATACATCACAACGCTTTCTATGGGATTTCTGGTGCTGTGTTCACACCAGTGCAGTCTGTTCCGATGCAATCAGAAAAAAAAATACTGCTTGCCCTATTTTAACTGCATCGGATCAAAAACGCATGCAAACGCACCTGAAGGCCTTTTTTCCATTTTTTGCACCCATGTTATATTCCACATTTTAGGCCTGAAAATGACTTAAAACCCCCAAACATTATATATTTTCTGAATGCCAAGACCCTATAGAATAAAATGGTGGTATTTGCAAATTTTTATGTTGCGCAATATTAGCGCAACTCCTTATTAAACCCCAAAATTTTGTGACAAATTTAATTAAATGGCCCAAAACACAACAGACTCAGCGAGTCTGTTTAAACAGCCACTGTACGTCGTCAGTCACAAAGGGGTTAAGCAAAAAAACAACCCCACATCAATCGTTGTAAAATCGCAGCAAAAGGCATCACTTTGCAGCTGCGCAGACTCACGCAGTTCTGGTTTGAACTAGCCCTTAAGGTAGAGTAGAATTTCTTGCAGCAGAATGCAAATCCACATGGGTAGTTTATGGCTCCCGATAACCCCCTTTGATCACAGAGTGTGTGCAAACTAGAGCCAAAGTGAAATGGCTGAAGGCCAAACACACTGACACTCAGCTGGTCAATCCAATCATTTGACATCGATGTGACAAAGTATTGCTGCCAAACACTGTTTGGTCATATAACACACTCTCTGCTCCTTACTGCTGCGCCCACCCTATTAAACCCTACTAAAGGAATAGTTTATTGGGTAGGAACAGCAATTATGTGCGTAATGGCACATTGCAAACTTGCCCGATTAAATATTGAAAGGAAGGATATGGAGAATTTATTACACTTGTATTGCACTCCGCTCCTCAATGGGCAGAAGGAAGGACTACTACACCATACCTGAGCAATTTGTGAAAGGCTGCACAATAAGATTGAAGGGGTTAAAGTGACATTAAACCCTCAGATTTTTTAACTTATAATACTGTAATGTGCGCCTTACTGTAATCCATGGTTGTTTCCCTTCTCTTTGCTGCTCTTCCTTTTAAATCCTCATGTCTTCTCATGCTTGGGGAGAACTTCCCTTTGCAGCTGATTGCCTCTTCCTGTAGTGCAGGCTCAGGTTGCAAACGTACACACAGACACCATAGCCATTCCAGAGACAAGGCAGTCTGCTGCCAAACAGAAGTTCTGCCCAGCATGAGAAGAGATATGGATTTAAAAGGAAGAGCAGCAAAGAGAAGGGAAACAACCATGGATTACAGTATTGTTTTACCGTATGTTAAAAAATCTGAGGGTTTAATGTCACTTTAACAGCTGAAATGCATATAATACTGTCTTTTTACGCCACTCCGTTACATTAACTATACATGCAGCCACAACACATTCCACTGCTAGTAGCACAAGCAACCAACCTGTGCTCGCTTCTGGTTAAAAAATTCCAACACTTCTTCATTCCCCACAGCCTCTGCCTGCAATAGAATACACACATTAGACAAGATAGCAAAACACGGATTCAAATTACCAGGAGAACAGGAAGGATAGAGTTATTATTATATATTTGTAATTCTATTTCCCACCTTCTGTGCCTCACTACCAGGTAGTGAGGTCACTAATCATGGCTCCCAACCTGAGGCCACAAATCATGGTTACTGACCATGATGAGTGGCCTCCTTGTTATTTTCTTTTTGCTGTCTGTGATAGTTGGGGAGACATCTCACTTCCTGTCCTGGGCCAACATAACATAATCAAAGAAACACACTGACCAGTTTTAATTTATTAAGCTACGTAAAGCTTGTGCTATAATTGCTCTCTAGTTCAGCGTTCATTTAATTTTTGAATAGTTAAACAGGGCCTAGAATGCACATATAAGAACATTACTGTAAGAGTTGCCCATACCCCAGCAGCAGTCCTAGTAGGATCCAACCAGCCTGTACTTTTAGCTTTAGCCTACAAACCCAAAAAAAGAACCTGGAGCCTTAGATGTCAGGGTTAAGGATCCAGGTAGGGAAATCTTGGCTTGTGATTGGCCAGGTTGACCTTGATCCACTCGCCTGGTCCCCCAATAGCAAACCACCTCCTCCCCCAACCTTAGCTGCACCAAGCCATTACTCCACTGCAGTCGCTCACCACTTGGTAAGGTGTTTGTCCATCATAACCAGTTTGATCCATGTCGACTCCGGCCAGCTCCCAGGCTGTCAGTCCATCCACATCCCCAGTAGCAGCTAAGCTGTAAGAACAAATTAGAAGCAAAGGCTGCATCACATGGAAGGTGGTAAAAGTTTATGTCAGTGGTTATGGCACTTCCAATGTTTCCATTTCAACCAGATTCCACATTTCATGCTTTGAAGCTCTAGCTTTCAGATATAGCTTGCTGCCCTGGCTTACAACTAGAGGTGCACCGAAATGGAAATTTTAAAACCGAAACAAAACCAAAATAAAAAGAAATGTCAGGCCGAAACCGATACCGAAAATGTTTTTTATTTTAATTTTTTCAATTTTTTAAAAATATTTTATTTTTTATAAACTTAATTTTTTTATATTAATTTTTTATTAAATATTTTTATTTTTTACATTACTTTTAGGGGCTTCAGGGAAATATTAGGGGTCTAAACAGACTGCTGATATTTCCCTTTTAAAATAGAAAAAGAGATTGAGAACACAAAAAAAGTCCTCAATCTCTTTTTCTGTGTCCCCTGTTATCAATGAACAGGAATCCTTTATGAGTGTTCCTGTTCATTGAGAACATTGTTTGTTTACTATAACTACAATTATGAATGAACAGGAGGTGATGTAGATCACTCCCATTCATTCATAATTGAGGATATAGTTAACACACCATATCCTCAATTATGTACACACACTCAGCGATCACTGAGTGTGTGTACATTGCTTTTCTCTCTGACACGCTGTCACAGGAGGCTGATCGAGCGGTGTAGAGAGGAAAGCCCAGCCTCCTGTGACGGCGCTGTCTCCGCCCCCACACCGCTCTGCCGGACTGTGATAGCGGTGTGGGAGGAGAGACGCCAGCCGAGCGCTGTGTGCGGTGTCACTTTCTTTTCTCCCCGCTGGAACACAGAGCATCGCCCAGCGGGGAGAAAAGAAACCAGGGATGCGCCGATGTATCGGCCGAAACATGGCTCTTTCGGCATTATGCCAAAAGTGCCCTTTTCGGCCGATGTGTTTCGGCGGCCGATATATCGGTGCATCCCTACTTACAACACTTTGCTTGCAAAAGATGCCATGCTCTTCTATTAACCTCCATATCTGTGATATAATACATTATTGGTACGTGTAAAAAAGCTATGCAAGTTTAAAAATGTTGTATTGTGTAAGGTTTCAATTGAAGCTAGCCACTGCATGGAATGAAGGTAAACCTGTAAAAAAAATAAAATATATATATATATTTACACACAGTACAGCCAGCTAACTGTATACCCTAGGGACCCCCAGTCAAGTAGCGTTGTATCATGCAAACTAGGAAAAAGTCTCTACTCCAAAGGAGATGAAAGGAGCTGCAAGGAAAGTAGATAGTGTAGTATTATTGAAAACGATTAACAAGAATGTGGATGGAAATTAGGTTAATTCAGCTCGTACTTACAACTGGATGGCCGCTACACTACAGAAGGAAATGGCAACCAAAAAAATGGGGTTGTGGAGAATATTTCTGTCTCCACACAGAGCATTAATATGGTCACACTCAAGAATTGGAATCCTGGTAAAGCCGTACTGGTGCAGGATGAAAAAAACAACCCAGTGGAGAGTGGTGGTGTTGCCTGAATATCAATAACAGCAGTCAAAGTGCAATAGGAACGCAGGTCTTTATTGATAGCACAGTATTGAAACTCCAAATGCAATTACAGTTTTGGAGATCTTCAGGTAACACAAACAAAATTTGTACCGAGAGGAAAATAAAAAATGCAGAAATACGTGCTAAAAACATTGCTAAAAATGCTAGTTGCCTGGTAGGTGATTTAAAGAATTCAAGTAAGCCAAAGAAACTAGCATTATCATAAAGAGGTAATCCCCCATATTTCTTTGTACAGCTTTCCTTTATAAAGGGGCTGAAGGTACTTGTGTAACATATTGAGCCACATTTCCTACCAAGTGTACTTTTCAGCTCTGTTTTGAGGGAAGGAGAATTTTGCTAAACTACAGCTCTAAGAATATCATTAGAATTGGGGAAAAGAGACCCTGTCACCAACTTAAAAACAACAACAGGTAAAAGCACACAAAAAAATCAAGTATTTTAAATACTTGTTTGCAGCCTTTCCCCTTTACATACATCGTTTGGTCAATTTTTCTATCAAGTACAAAGGCACATTGCAAGTAAATAATAGTGAATTCCCTAGTACAGTCTCCTCCCACCTTGTAAGACACTGCCCTCTCCACCTCTCATACTGTATAATTACTCTGTGCTGGAAACTCCTCCACCTCCTTAAATAACCTTTTAGGAAAGAGGGGAGGGCAATACTAGAGAGACTTGGTGCCCAACACGTGGCCTGCCATCTCTCCATGTCTGGCCCGCCATGTACTATACTGGGTATGCTACCTATAGGTAGCACCAATTGCAGTCACTGACACCAATGGTAGGGATTATTACTGTGTCCTCTGACTTCTATGTAGGGGGGTTATTATTGCGTCCGCCGACACCAAAGGAGGGGGTTATTATTGAGTCCGCTGACACCAGTGGTGGAAGTTATTGCATTCAAGTTATTGCATCTGTTGACACCAATGCTGGTGGTTATTATTGCGTCCACTGACACCAATGCTGCTGGTTATTATTGTGTGTGTCGACACTAATGGTGGAAGTTATTGCATCTGCTGACACCAATGCTGGTGGTTATTATTGCGTTCGCTGACACCAATGCTGGGGGTTATTATTGTGTGTGTCGACACTAATGGTGGAAGTTATTGCATCCACTGGCATCAATAATGGGGGGTTATTATTGCGTCCGCTGACACCAATGCTGGGGTTTATTATTTCATTCACTGACAAAAATGCTGGGGGTTAATTTTGTGCCTGCTGACACCAATGCTGGGGTTATAATCCTGCCACGTTAACGTGTTTGGAAGCTGCCTGAGGTCTGTTCTAATCAGAAGTAAAAGCAGCCGCAATAAAACGTTTATCATTGTAGCAGCAGCAAAAGAATTGAACTCAACAGGTTATTAGTGGTGAGTATTAGACACACACTGAGTGTGAAGACATCACAGTGAAGAGACAGCAGACAGGATGTTATTTCAAAGAAGCGAGATATGGCATCCATAAGCCAGACAATATCAGCCAAGCATGTCCTCCAATCAAGAGGAAATTAGAAGGCGCCTGTGAGGGTGACCTAACTGCAGAGAGTTTAATCAGACAATCGATCTTGCAAGATTTTCCAAAAGACGCAAATAAAAGGTGTGACTGCTATTGTTCTTTTATACTTGTGTAGGGATTTAATGCAGACTACAGATTTCTTTTTTTTCCCCCCTCTCTCAACTGACCCCGATTAAATTAAACCTGTACTAATAGAATATGAAGACTGCCATTGCTGACCTCTTTTGAAAATGCTAGTTATCTGGCTGACATGCTGATCCTCTGTTGCATACTTTTTCCAGCTCACTAAAGATGATTTGTCAGTACTGCTAAACTGCTTGCTTGCTTTAGGTTATTATCTCACAGCATTAAAAAACATTTAGAGCTGTCACCAATGGTAGCCCCTGCATTTCTCTCAGTACAGGTGTACTTTACATTGTTCAGAATAGAAGCAGCCTGCTGTACTTTACCAATAGGAAGTTTTACAGCCAATGTCTGCATATGTTTTCCAGACCAATGATTCGTACTGAAGTTAGAGGGTCAGCATGACAGCCAGGCACCTAGCGTTTGCAAAATATAAAGTAATGCTTAATCAATTCTTTCAGGAAAACAAGAGTCCTTTAAACTGACCCCATTACCATAGGATCACTTGTAAAAGATCATGTGTACTTACTTTTCTAGTGGCCCATGTCTTTAACCACTGGTGCCCCATGGTCGCTGCAGGTATTCAAATACTTCTGTGTGAAAATAAATGGTCTCCCCTGCTGCATGCTGTGGTTCCTATTGCTGGGCTATATATATGTCACTATGGGGGCCGTTAACCACTTCAAGACCAGGTGTTTAGACCCCCTTCCTGGCCAGGCCATTTTTCAGTATTCAGCGCTGCGATACTTTGACTGACGTTTATTCCGTCATGCAACGCTGTACTGAAATGAATTTTATACCATTTTTTGGGGACAGATAGAGCTTTCTTTTGGTGGTATTTAATCACCACTACAGGTTTTATTTTTTATTATAATTAGGAAAAATTATTGAAAATTTTCAAAAAAAAATAAGTTTTTTGTAACATTATGTTAGGAAACATTTATTATTACCCAGTTTTTTGGTCAAATATAAAAGATCAGGTCACGTCGGTTAAATAGACACCAAACATGTCAAGCTTTAAAATTGCGCGCACCCGCGACATCGCAGAAAACGACGGCAACCAAAATTGGCCATAGGCGACACAGGAGAAGTATTCGGAGAGCAAAATGTATTCTTCCCAATACTGCAGGTGTCACATGCTGGCTCTATAGATCGAGAGCTGAGCGTTCACAAACCACTGGTCGCTAAGCTCATGGTCTTCTCCCAGCAAAGAATGGTGGCCGTCAGTCACTGCTTCCTACAGGAATTGCTCCATCCCCTCTCTGTTCCTCCAGCACTCATTGGAGGGACAGACAGGGGAGGGGTGGGCACAGCTGAGGAGTCTGACAGCTGGCTTTGCCTCTCTAGAGCCAATCAGGCAGCATGGTGGATCCTGGCAATATCTTTGCTGGCTGCAGGGTGACTCTACACCATCACCATGTAGTGGACAGTAGCCCACTAGATGCTGACTTTGGGTCACAGGAGTACATTAGTTAACCCCTTGCCATTCGCCCATCGCAAAAATACAGGCAGACGGCGGATGCTTCCCGGTGGGTGGAAGTACATTTACGTAAACCTTTTTCTCCCTAGGGGGCGCGCGCAAGCAGAATCCCGCCGGGAATGTGTACAGCTGTTACATACAAACGCTCAGCAGGCTCTACAGCCGGTCGATCGCTTGTATGAAGATTCACAGTGCTGGCTCTCCTGCTGTTTGGTGTCTATCTACCCGACGTGACCCCCATCTTTAATATTTTTCCAAAAAATTGGGTACCGATAAATGGTTTATAACATAACATAACATAGGGAAAACGGGGTTGTTTTACTAAATTCTCTGTACTTTTTTTCATTATATAGTAGAAAATAAAACCCCAGTGGTGATTAAATACCACCAAAAGAAAGCTCTATCTGTCCCCAAAAAATGGTATAAAATTCATTTCAGTACAGTGTACTACAGTGCTGAATACTGAAAAACGGCCTGGACAGGAAGGGGGTTTAACACCCCGGTCAGCAAGTGGTTAACATACTTTGACACAAAGGAGGGCTAAAGCCAAAAAAAAAAGGTTTGGATTTAGTTATTTGATTCTATGATTTGTGCTGCATGCTGTGGTTCCTGTGGCTGGCTTGTATGTCACTGCAGAACAAATGAGCATGTTAGGAGAAACTTCAGAGTGCAGCTTTGGAGCAGGTATTCCACACACCCAGAAGTGGCCAGGGAGCAGGAATACAGAGGCTTTTGAAGAGCCAGGTAGTTGGAAAGCTACTTTATATGCATGGGCAACTCGGTGACGCAGTTCCTTTTAAGGGGGGAACACTGTAGACCTTTGTAAAAAGAAAACTGGGGAGTTTTGTAAAAAATCACATTTTATGACCTGTAGTGCAGGTCTCCTTTATCTGACTGGACTCTGCACCTCCTCATTCCTTCAATCGAAAGAAATATCCAGCAGCCAGCAAACCAGTTCCACTGGTTAAGCAGATAAAAGGTGGGGCAGAGAAGAGTCTGCTCTGTGTGAAGGAATGGCATGTCAGCCTCTCCTACATACTCTAGTATTTCAGTCTTGTCGCTGCATTCCCTGCACATTTCTCAGGTATGTGAACACAATCAGCACTTCCTGAAGTGACCTGGCCTGGAATGCACTGCAGACTCTTCCTCACTGCCAGCCTGGTGGCTCCTTATATCATTTAAATGGCAAATCTTTAATATATGGTAGAGGAAGAGCAGCTGTAAAATTGCGTTGCTCAGGATAACATTTCCTTCCCAAAACATTTTTCATTTTATTATACTAGAGAAGGCAGCAAGCTGAGTTATGAAATTTGAAGCAACAACTCATCTTTTCCAAACCACCCAATCAGAACAGTCTCTAAAACTGAAGCAAAGGGTGGGGCTGGTGCCAAAATTCAGTCAATGATATTCCTCATGTTCTTCATAAAGATACTTTAATATCTAACGGGTTGGTCTGGGAGACACCTCCATTTTCAGAACTAAGATTTAAAATTCACCCTGTGGGTCCTCAGTCTAGCTAACTCCTACCTGCTTTCACACTCACTCTCCTTTTTATCATACTATTTACTACAAAATGACAGGTGCCCTTTAAAGTATACTTGTTGCAGGGTCACCTGCCTCCTCCTAAAAATGATGGATGCACCTCTTGCTTCATTCCCTCTGCATTGCAGACCTGGAACAAGAATGCTGTAAATGATCAATTCTTATTCTACTCTTGTTCCAGGGCAGTGATTTAGAGGTGAACCAGGCAACTAGCATTCTCACCCGTTGCATGTTTCTCTTCCCTTTCAGCCGCAGGAGCAAGGCATTGCTTTCTCGCCAACTATCAAGGTTTTGCAGTCCTTTCGGCAGCGAGGGAGCGACACAAAGTATGTATATATTTTCACCAACAACATGATTGCTAATGAGGCATGGGTATAAGATGCACAGTGGAAAGTAAAGATTCAGAAGAGTTTTCTTACCTGCAGAGTTCTGTACCGCTGTGCTCCAGCTCCTCCCAGGAAAGATGAGCCCCCGTCTGCCGCAGGAGTTTAATTACTTCTAGCTGCCTACGGATGAGGAATAATCTGTTAATGCACATCGTGGATTTTTATGTCTCTATATTTTGCTGCATCAAATGTTCGTACAGAACATAACATGAAACAAAGTAATGAGGTCCTTGCTTCCATTGAAACTGGGAATGACCGAGGTTACTATGAAAAACAAAGAATGACAAATGTGTTTTGCTCAGCTGTTCGGCTTAGTAGATCGGGAGGTGAGCGAACACATACCGGCGTTCGCTCACCTCTCGATCCTGTCACGGCTCTCTGCCATGACAGGGGAGGGGCTGGATTCCCCCCTCCCCGCCAGCGCTGACTGGCGGAACGGACGGGGAGGGGGCGGGTACAGCTGGCTCTGCCTCTAGATAGGCAGAGACAGCTGTCAGTCACACAGCTGGGCAGATCCAGACATAATTGTCGGGATCCGCTTCAGCGTCTCAGTATACCGCAAGCTGCTCTGCGGCGTTATACCGTGAGCTGTTGCTTGTGGTATACTGAGCCTAGGGTGACTGGAGGACAGCAGTTTGTGTCCTCCCATTACCCTAAGGAGAACTATGGGGAAAAGCCTTAACCCCCATAGTTCTCCTTTAAGTACAGTTGTATTGTAAAGTGCATTTCCTCTTTGCATTCAACTTTGCGAAAACCCCACTATATGTTGGTTACGTGTTCCTCCACACAGCATGCCTAAAAATACGTTTTACCTTTTTAGTTCTTTCTTTGGAGGAGGCCTTTGGCATTTGACAGTTTGTGAGTGAGTCTGTCCCCAAGACAAAGGGGGCCAGACTGCATTTCCTCTCATTAACGTACAATGCTTCTAGATCTTTAAACCTTTTTTAAGGACAGACAGTGTTCAAATTTAGTTTACAAATAATGAGATCTTCCGCCACAGTGCAGACAGGGTTGATTTTGGAAAACATGAACTCCCCAATCAGCTCAAGCCTCCACCTTGAAATTACAGAGAAAGGAAAACATTTGGTCTAGGGAGTTTTCAGAAAAAGAGCTAATAACAAATTTTAAATAAAGTTATGCTAGGATATTGCTGACCACTTTATGAAAGTTTGGCTGTCATGCTGAGTCTCTTGCTTCCAAACTAACCTGAAACAAGTAAGCAAATAGGGACCGGCTTTACCCCGACTCTCCTAAACTGCCTGTTCCAGATCAGCAGCTCAAAAAAGTAGAAATATGCGGATCAATAACAGTCAGGCAACTAACATTTCAGAAGTTTTTTTTATTATGCAATGGCAGCCCCTGTATTTCTTTCATGACAGAACCTGGTCCCCGACAGCATGGCCATTATCTGCTCTGATGGTCACAACTCCTGAAAGCAGCACTAGGACTGACCCCTTTGACAAAAGTTAATTATTTAGTGAATAACCCCGTTACTTATGCCAAGTGGAGCAGTGCCAACAGGGCCACCTATGGCTTGAATTTCACTCTGTATAGGGCTAGCTTAAGTGTCCTGCAGAAGTGTTCCCTGCTCTTGAACTAGCATGACTTCCAAGAGTAATGGATGTCATGACAGAAGAGCAGATATCACTAAAGCATGCTGCAAAACAAGCAATTTGAGGAATTTTTTAGAGCAAGTGTTTTTTAAAGCATAAGAGCATATACAATACCAATTTCTTAAGCTGGCCATACACTGAGCGAATTTCAGCCATTTGTTTATGAACTGGCCAAAATTCACTCCAGGTATGGCCCTGCCAGCACCCCTCTGCTCAGGGGTGGCTGATCCAAAAGCCACTGCTGAATACTACAATAGCTGGCAAGGGAGATTCCTTCATCCACAATGTTTAGAGTAGGTGGGAAAAATGTCAAGAGTGTATGGCCAGCTTTATACAAGATCTCTGGGGAGAAATTCCAGATTTTCTCCACAAAAAAAAAGAAAAAAACTTGAACATTTTCCATGCCAAGTGATTGTATACAGTGGGCAAAAAAAAATTGTTATCTTGAATGATTTTTTTTTAGAAATCTGTAACCAGTGGCAGATACAGAATATAACTTGGCGCAGATGGTCAAAGCAAAGCAAGACTGTATTTTAGTGAAGGGGATGCAGAGCAGAACATACATTGAATTTCTTTATTCAATGTTCTGACACCAAATGAAGTGGCAATTAGATTTACCTGCATTTCTCAACTGGTGTGTATTATAGAGCACCCTCAACTTTATTGTACCATATCATTGTTTAAGAACTAGATACAGTGGGAGGTGCTGCTCGGTCTTGTTTTGCATTTTGAACCTCAGCAATAAACCTTCATTACCAGGATATGCAATTAGATGATAAAATATTTCTGGATCCCACAGTTAATGGTATACAGATAGATTTCCAAGCATGCAGTAGCATGTAATAGGCTTGATATTTAAATGATGGGTCCACTTTAATGTGTGCTCTGTTCATTACAGTAGATTTAAAGTCAATTCACCTTAATCAGAGTTGCTTTTAAAAAAGATAGGCAAAGGCCATTGAATAACATTGTCCTCTTTGAGGGTCAGTCCTTTCAAAAGTGATTTATAGCGCATTACGTTCTCTGCCTGGCTATCCCCGGATTAATCCCTCAACCTCTCAAAAAATTTGCTCTGTTTTAACATGGATGTAAAACACACTTCAGAATGGGGAATAAAAGGGAACCTGTCAGTATATCAATATGCAAACTGCCATTGCAGATGTGTTTTCAAAAGGAGCACCCCATCATCCTCTTCACTGCTCACAGCTTTATGAATCACTGACCCAGAACTGGTATTAAGGGCGGAGCTCCAACTTTACTGGAAGTTGATTGTTTCCAGATCACTGACTCACCAACAAGTTAATAGGGAATTTGTCAGGGCAGAACCATGGGAGTTACCATTGCAGACTTTTTTTTTTTTTTTACGGTGAGACTGGAACCACAATCCTTTACTACTGGAAGTGAACCTCTGCTTTACCCATGCAGGCAAAATTAACAGGCTAGGAAGCAACAACCATGTTATATTAAAATACCATTCCCAAAGTGAACATAAGTTCACCCAAAATGTTACCTAGATTTTGAAACATGCCAGAAACCTATACCAAAGGTTTTTTATCTCTGGGGATGGTGGAGACTTCCATGCTGGAGTCCCTGGGTCTGCAAACAAGACATGGCCATGACAAAGGGGGGGGGGGGGCACTATCCCTGTTGGATTTGTAATCAATTTCATATTATTTGTATAACTAGGAGTGGTAACAACCCAAGACACTGGAGACTCCAAAAGGAAAGGAGACCTCACTGATGAAGCACTCCAAATGACTTGAAGTATACATCGCCTATTAAATTATATGATAAATAGATTAGCAGAGGTTACCTTTGGTAAATGTCAAACTGATCGGTAGATCAAGACATAAAAGTCCAATGAGATTTATAGATTACAGTCACAAATCCAAAATTATGATTCTTAGCTTTGTGATAAAGGTCAAGTTCACCTTTTCACACAATGTGATCTTACTCACAGTAGCCTCCCCACCTCCATCCTGTGATGCAGTGTATTGATCCATACACTAGAATTGACAGCTCCCCAGTCTGCAATAATCATGCTTGCGCATGACCGCGCTTCACCAATGAGAAACTCTTCAGAGCTGGGTACCAGGTCCCATGAATAAGAAGGGTTTCTTATTGGTCAGAGCAGTCATGTGATCATGCTGAACAATCAGCTCACCATTTGCAAGCATTTTAATTATTCCAGACGGGAGGCTCTTAATACCGGCTGCCGGAGTGCAGCTGCTGCTTTAAGTTCAGTTTTTCACATTTTGTGAAAAGGTGAACTTAGCCTTTAAAGCTTTGCGAATTGAGCCTATAGGCTGCCTAAGTTGTATGTAAACCTCCATTTTTCATTAAAAGCCAGAGTATCTTCCTGCCCGCCTCCCTAAGCTACATATTGGTACTTTAACCTTTCGATGACCAATAGTCATTGGACCTGGGAATCAATTTAGCAGCATCAACAAGTGTTGGTTAACTTGATTACTCTAACCAATTTCTTAGCTAAATAATTGTTATAGATAATTTTGATCATTTTAAAGGACATCTGTTTTCCTATCTATCATGCCTGGGTAGAACAATTTTCAAAGCTGTTCTCCAAGCAACCTGGGGCCCTCAGTAGGTATCTGTGGAAAAAGCTGCAGTGAAACTTACATTATGTAACACAACAAGCCTCTGCAGGAGCAGAGAAAAAGCTCCCATCTTGTCACAACAACTCACTCTGGAGTATGCAATGACAGTAGCTAAGAACGAAAACCTGCATCACAACAGGAGTGGCACTGGAAATTCTACATGAAGAAATCTTTGAGAAGGACCTGAGGCAGCGGCTGGGTGTGGTGCAATGAGGCCCATTTTCCCACATTAGAAGTTAAGATTTAACCTTTCAGTTGCCAGTGCCAAGTTCACCACACACCTCCACAATAAAAAAAAGGGAAGGTGAACTAGTGGACAGGATCAAATATTGTCTATCAAAACCAAGCGATGCTGCTACATACAAAAATGTATTCTAGCCAAAAATTTTTAAAAAAATGGAGTTGAAGAGGCTGCAGGAACTGGCCAGGGTTATGTTTTTAACTGCTCAGAGCTTCTTTGAACCACTCATTTTTTACTGTCCAGTTGCAGAGATTTCCCTTCACAGAGGTAGAACAGGGTGAGAGAGGATTGATAGTTGTCATTAGGACAGATGTCCCCATTGGACGATTTCCCTTCAAGTTCTGTTCCTGTGACAACTGTAGCATCTATCCCTTCACCACTATCGAAAAAAATCGATGACAGCGATGACTGGATGTCATGGACAACCAAAAGCCCTCTCTCTCTTTAGAAACTTCCAGTCATGGGGCTCATTGACATCACAGGGACCAGTATGGTTTCCATACTTGATATATTCATTGATTAATCAGATTAACTGGTATAGACCATATATCTAAAGTGAGTCACTGCCCTTTATTATGGCACGTTCCTTTTAAGAACAATGTAGGCTTACCTGAATTTTACAGCATTCATCAGGGGGGTGTCTCCATATCTGTCCTTGGCGTACACAGTGGCTCCATTATTGAGCAGATACTGGACCACAGTGTAGTGCCCTTCACAGCTGGCAACATGTAATGGCGTTCTGCAATCATAGTCCTCACTACTCAGGTTTCCCCCCTGTTCAAAACAAATTATCAACACATACAGAATATTTTAGCAAGATCACCACATGCACAGAACACCACATTTATAAAATCTGTTATTTGAAAGCCACTATGCATTGTTTCGAGCTGAATGAGGTGTACAGCTACTGCATTAAAGCCCAATCCCAGCAAAAACACATTGAGGGGAATTTATCAAAACTGGAGTGGACAAAATCTGGTGCAGCTGTGCATGGCATCCAATCATCGTCTCTCTTTCAATTTCAAATCTTAACGGAACAAACTGAAGAGAGAAGCTGATTGGCTGCAAGTAAATATATATATTTATACATCAGATGCAGTGCAGGTCACACAGATTCCCTTAAAATGAACCTGTGCATTGCCTATGAAGGACAGTAGTGTACAAGCAGCATGTACTCGCCTCTCTCACTCCCTTCTTTCCCTCATTCAGCTGCTCCCAGCAAATAAAGGCAGGCGAGTATGTGCTGGTGGCAGCAGTTGAAGCACAGCACTTTCTTTTTTTCCCCAGTAAGCTTCAGTTGCACAAAGTGATTTAAAAGGAAAGTTTGGCTATCAATCAAAAGGTAACAATGGTTAATGCCCTCTAAACCCAAAACACTTCTCTACGCGTCCTGGAGAATTTTCTGTTAGGGGAAATCCAACATTTTGACCCGTCACCAGAACAGCAACAAATCTTCCAATGGGGGCACAACTGCGTGAGAGGTAATGTTCCTCATTTTGCATTCTTTTCCTTCCTGTTGCATCTACAAGACAGGAAGAGAAGGGGAACCTCCCCATTGGGAAAGGAAGATGTTAGGGATTTAACCATTCCCTAATCATCTAAAATGTAATAAAAAATAATACATGCTGGCTTTAGATATACTTTTAGGGAAAAATGGCTTGGGCCTTGTTACTGTTTCTTGCTTGCCACCTACGGTAGTTGCTCCAGAAATAGTTGAAGGTTAGTTCTAAATTGCTTTTGCAGTGTACAAGAGCAATATAATTCATTTTTGTTGTGTGGAATTAACCCCTTCATGACTGAGGCCCTTTTTTCCATTTTTGCACCCATGTTATATTCCACATTTTAGGCCTGAAAATGACGTAAAACCCCCCAACATTATATATTTTCTGAATGCCAAGACCCTATAGAATAAAATGGTGGTAGTTGAAAATTTTTATGTTGCGCAATATTAGCGCAACTCCTTATTAAACCCCAAAATTTAGTGACAAATTTAATTAAATGCCCCAAAACACAACAAATTACCCATTTTTTTAATGAAATATAAAAGATGAGGTTACAACGAGTAAAACGATACCCAACATGCCCAGTTTACAGATTGCGTGCGACCGTGAAACGGCGAAAAACTGCAGTACCCCAAAAAATCAATAAAAGACACTTTAAAAGCCCCCACAGGTCATCAATTTAGAGATACCCCAAAATACTGCCCCTAGAATTATTGCTCTCACTCCGGCGTGCGCGGCGATACCCAACATGTGTAGCGCGTTCGTCGTTTTCATGCGTAGGCGCACCCGACGCGTGTTTACGTGGCGACGCGCGTGCTTGCGGGGGCGGGGTACTTTAAAAAAAATTTTTTTATTATTATTAGATTTATTTTAATTTTAAAAACCGTTTTGTTTTTTTTTTTACTTTACTTTGACTGCTATCACATGGGGGGGCTTGCAAGCCCCCCCATGTAATAGCAGATGGTGGTGACAGGTCCTCTTTAAGGTGATGCTGGGGGTCCAAAAGACCCTCAGTGTCACCTTTACACTGGAAATAAGCTATTGAAGTGCAGATCGCACTTCAATAGCTTATAGCTGGGCTGCAGGAGCCCAGAACTGACAGCCCAGGGACCGGAAGTGATGCAATCTGCATCGCTCCCGGTCCCATAGAACGGGGAGGGGATCGATGAACGGAAGTTCGTCGACCTCCTCCCCAGCTCCCCGCGGACACAAAGATCGCCGGTCCCGGGCCCGTAGGAGGGGCAACGGAGCCCGGGAAGCACGGCGGGGGTGTCCGGGGGGGGGGGCGGCCCCTTCTTCGGGACGCAGAAGCGATCTGGCGACAGGTAAGTCGCCAGGATCGCTTCTGTTGTAAAGCCGACAGTCGGCTCTACAAGTTTAAACAGAGTCCCGGCGGCAAAAGTCGCCGGGAGTCTGTTTAAACAGCCCCGATGCTGGCGACGTACACTGTACGTCGTCAGTCACGAAGGGGTTAAAAGACAAGTTCACCCAAAACAGATATTTCAGCTTCTGTTTAACGCTATAGAGTTATATCACCTTTAATATTTCTCATCTCTCTGAGACTCTGTTGGTGAGATCTCCGAGTTCCCAAGTCTGTACGCCTGCTTTGGCCATCAGGAGGGGATCACAATCTCCATGTTGGATTTCTTTTATTTAAGTTTATAAAAATTCAACAAGGTATCTCTTGCTGTTGGAGGATAAAAGCCACAAGAAGCTGACTTGGCCTACTAGGCTCCAGCTAGAACAAACATTTAGGTAAAAAGACCCTTTGATTTAGGATGTGCGCACATGGGCATTTTTTTTAGGGGAATTCTTACCATATCTCTTATTGCTTCCAGTGCATTAATGTCTCCAGTTTTAGCAGCAGCACAGGCCAAAGCTGGCATCAAAGCATCTCTAACCGCCTCCAATTCCTGCAAATAAAAACACAGTTAGTGCTGGAATGACTCTTACAGAGTCCATGTAAAAGGAACATGGCATTTTTAACAACAGCTCTATAGAGATTTAATCCTCAAAAGGTAAGGGCTTGTTCACACCAATTTCGGTGCGTTCCAGACCTGCAGCTGCTGAAACGCACCACAATCGCTCACAAAACTTCCCTCTGTTCTGGGGCGGGAGGGGGCGTAGCGGTGCATTGAGGTCAAGGGCACTGCAGCCACGCCCCCGCATGGCAAAACAATGCCTGCGTTCAGTTACACTGCAAAAAATAGAGCCACACGTCCGATCGCACTGCAGGCGGGGTTGCCACGCCCCCTCCCGCCCCAGAACACAGGGGGAAGTTTTGTGAGCGATTGCTGTGCGTTCCAGCAGCTACCGCTCTGGAACGCACCGCAATTGGTGTGAACAAGCCCTAAAACATTGATTTCCCAATGTTAATAAAAGAGCGAAACTACGTTATGATCTAAAAGTGTGTCACGTGATTTGTTTTTTCTCTAAACGCTGGCTGTAATAGTGGCAAGCCTTTTCCCATCTAATTTTGGACGGGTTATTATGACACATTATTCAAACAAGCCAAAATAGAAAACTCCCCATAGAAGATATAATGTACAGCAATTATAGGGAATGGAGGACAATTTGGGTGTAATTTCAGCAGAAGTACGAGTTAAAAATAAACAACTAATGGATGTAGGAAGCGCAGGGCTCATGCTGGGAAATGAGTAGGTTTTTGGACTTTTCTAAAAGGGTTAAATGACTGAAGACTGATGTTTTGGTAGACGCTGCATGTTCAAAGCCACCAGATGTTTGTCTTCCTAAAACTGGCCATACACCTTACAATTATCGTTTGATTTCTTTCATCCCATCATCAAACCCCCCGTTCGATTTCCGCTCAAATACCCCATCATGCACAGACCAATGTAGAGTTCAATTATTGTTCATTAGCAATACTAACTGGCTGAATTGGGTCGATCAACAGAACGGATTTTCGTTTGCAGTGTTCATGTTGCGGTTTTTTTCCATACGAAAACGCCACTAATGCATCCAATTTTGTACCATTCGGAAAAAAGCTTTTACAGTCTGACTAATCAAGGAAATTTGGACAGTTGTACAGTCATTGTGAGCGCTCACTTCCCAAAAACTGGCCGATTGTCGTACGAAAATCCGATCACATTTTTTTTCCGAACGATAATCGCAAGGTGTATGGGCACCTTTAAGGCTTCAATATTAGGAATTCTGCAGGAGGAAGGGGACAACTGTAGTAGTAGTAGCAGCAGCAAGAGTGGTGGGAACTCTGCCTGGATCAAGGAACCAAGGGCTGAAGAAGTCAAACAGGCTCCACTTATTACATCTACCACAATCATTGGGCTGACCCAGCAGGTGAACCAGAAATCTACACTAAGGAAGTAGAAAGCTGCCTCTGCGGACCTCCCCTTTTTAAAAATACTAGTTTCCCTGGTAGTCATACTGATTCAAGAGCTTCGGTACTCTGAGTACTTTGCAAAACAAATATGCCAATGAGGAGCTCTGCCTTCCCTGGTTTATGTGCTTGTTCAGCCACCAAGGTAATCAGCAATTTTTAGGAGAAGGTGATACTTCTCAGGTCTGGTTTTCTTTTTTTTTAAAGACGCACATCTTAAGATGACGCACCTTTACTGACCTAAAACAAGTGTGCGTTTAATGGCGTTTTACCCTTTATTATTTTCATGCTTGGTCTGGATCAGTGACCTATAAAGTGTTGAAACCAGAAACAGCCAGGTTAATAGCATTTGCAAAAGGAGATCAGCAATGGCAGCCACCACATTCCTCTCAATACAGGTTTTCTTTAAAAAAAACAAAAACAAATGCCATTAGCCACCAATTTAAATGACAGCGAGGTGTAGAGAGGGGTAATCTGCCTTCTAATGGCCTTAATTGCCAGTGAACCGGTTTCGCATAATAATTGGACTGTAATTGTTTTGGGGTCCAAAAACTGTTCTAACACAGAATTCCCAAGTAATTATTTCCAGCAATCTGTGGTCCCCCAAAGATGTACAGCACAGCAGTACACCAATTCTGGTCCAGACGGACAAGCTTGGTAAATTAATCCACATGTAATAGATTTTCCGTCACCCCAGCCACAGCCAGTGATCACATGATGTCCAGAAGCTTACTTACATACGAGGAATTATAAAAATGTAACTTGAGTTTCCGATGAAAATGTACCTCCTTGCAGCTCACACCGATAGACTTGGCGACCACCTGGATGAATTTGCTGTCTCTTAGAGAGATTTTAGCTCCAGTGGCACTGACTGTCATTTCTCCCCGAAGATTTTCATACAGCATCTGCAAATGGCACCGCCAAAAAATATATAAATCTGTATACACACACATTTTATACAGTATATCTTTATATTATATACAAAAACTAATACTAAAAGTAAGATATTGGCTATAACAATATGCTAGAAGCTGCACCGAGCACAAACATTCGAGTTCTATAGTCTCAGTTTATCAGGCCAATGAAACAAGGTGATGAGTAATATGGCTTAACCCACAGCAATCAATCAGTACTCATTTCTTATTGCAGCAGTGGTCGTGAATGAAATCCAGCTAAAATCCTATTGGATGCTCTAAGTTACAACACTTTACACATTGCTCTGTGTGGGCCTGGTGCTTGTAGAAACCATGGCGTGCTGCACAACACACACAGGGTATTAAGGCAATGTAAAAGCTAGGGAAAGTCCAGATCCCCTGGTCTTACCTGTTTCTTCTGCTCCAGGCTGAGGTGCGTTTTACCCAAGACGTATGAAAGCTTCGCCAGCGCTGCCTCTGGAGTCAAATCACAACCTGGAATGACCCCAACCACAGAAAGAGCCTGCAAAAATAAAAACACCACGATAAATAAAATAAAAATAGAATTTCTAGCAGCACTATGGCTACTGTAGAAGACAAAGAATATATTGTAGAACAACATTATTTTATTTACAGGGGGCCAAACGCTCCTGCAGCAATTTACAGAGAAATGGGACGATTTATGTCAGTAACTAACCCTGAACTAGCGTACAATCTACAGGGACAAACTTTTCAGACGACTTCTCTTTAGTGTGATTTTTAAGTTATGCACAATAGGTATTTATATGGTGCCGACAATTTACGCAGCTCTTTATATACTGTACATTCCCATCAGTCCCTGCCTCGAAAAGCATAATCTAAGGTCCCTAGGTCACATGCATACATGCACAGTAGGGTCGCTTTAGACAGCCAATTAACCTACCAGCATGTCTTTGGAGCGTGGGAGAAAACCCATTCGAAGCACAGGGGGAACATGCAAATTCCATGCGGATAGTGTCCTGGCTGGGATTTGAACAGAGATACAGTGCTGCAAGGCAGAAGTGTTCTAAGCCATAGTGCTGCGATACACTCAGCCTCCGTGTCGGTGGATTGTATCATTAGTCAGTGCGTGTTGGTGACCCTTGCAAGAATTACCATTTATCACTGACTGTACGATACAGCGTTTTTATTCTTAAGTGCTATGACCCAAAGTATGGATATTGATTGTTTCTGTGCTTACAGAGAATATGTATATTATTCTAAAACACATCCCAAGGTGGCCCCTCCCCCTGCGATGCAATGCTTATGCATGAGCAACCTCCAGTGCCACTCTCCTAGCGGATTTCAGAATAGCATGATTTTCTGAAGGGCTCCAGCAATGTATCTGGAGAGCGGACGGCTCTGAGATAGAAGCATCCAATAGCGCCTTCTCTAAAGTAAGTGTGTTAGGCCTTGTTCACAGTGCAGGCATTTGCTTCAGGTTACTGAAGCTTTCAAAAGGCTTTGGCAAGCCATTTTTTGGCAGGTATTGGCAACTTGCAAAGCTTGCCAAAAACTTCAATCCAAGTCAACGACAATACACCCCAAACGCATCTTGGTAAGGCATTCAAGAAGCTTTTTCTTTTAAAAGGCCCACAACAAAACATTTAATATATGGCAGCTTACAAGTCCTACATGTGGTGGATGCATTTGTTTTGATTATTAAGTACATTTTCTGCAAGCACAGAAAAATAGCTGTGGATCCTGCCAGAAATCTTGTGCCCCAACTCTCTATGCAATTAACTGAAGTCTCCGATAATGTTAACAGCATCCTCGGCTATCTTTTGTCAATCTACAAATCAACAACTTTTTCTGTAATGGAGATGAGAGAGAGCAGCCTAAGGTGACCATACTGCCCCTTCTACAGGGCAGTGAAGGAGCATTGTCACCCTAGTTCAGACGTGTGTTACTGGCAGGACCACCAGGTGAAAATAAAAGGAAAAAAAGCCTGAAAACAAGAAAACTAATGCAGCCCACACAATATAAGGATGGGTAAACTGTAATATATTACATGTTTGTTTTTAGATTTGTATACACTTTAACCCTTTCATGACCGCTGCCCCTCTGGGGAGGAGATCGGAAAACCTCCGCTCACGGATTTCCTCCCCGTACTATGGGACCGGGAGCAATCACTTCCGGTCCCATAGCTGTTGGTGCCGGGCTCCTGAAGCCCAGCAATAAGCTATTGAAGTGCGATCTGCACTTCAATAGCTTATTTCAAGTGTAAAGGTGACACTAGGGGTCTTTTGGACCCCCAGCATCACCTTAAAGAGTACCTGTCACTGCCAATATGCTATCACATGGGGGAGCTTGTAAGCCCCCCCCTATGTGATAGCAATAAAGTTAAAAATACAAACAAGTTTTTAAAATATTAAATGAAATCAATGTAAAAAAAAATAAACAATTTTAAAGCCCCCCCGTGCGTCTTCACGTAAACACGCGTCGGGTGCGCCTACATATGAAAATAAAAAATTAAAAAAAGGCCTCGGTCATGAAGGGGTTAAAGAAAAAGGGAAGGGGCAGGGGGCAGCTTCTCTGCAAGGGTTCATTTTTAGATTTCCTGGTGTTCTTCTTTAAGTATTTTTTGAGTCACTGTCATTGAACAAGCATGCAGGCAGTGAGCTCAGTCAGAAGTCCTGACTTGCATACTAATCCTGGGAAGCAAAGTATTAAAGGCCATTGGTTCATCATGAGGCCAGGCCAATTGAAAGAAGGAGTGGAACTATAAGAGCCTACATGAATCCCCAGTACAGATTCACTTTAAATAGGCAAGGAGGTAATTGAAGTACAACCCCCTCCCCTACGCAATATGAAGTCATATAGTGAACAGTTTCAGAAGTTGAACTACAGTTCCCAGCATGCCCTACTAAGCCGACAGGTGTTAGGTATCAAGTTGCTTATTTTTGGCTGTCTGACTGAAACTTGGCAAAGACAGAAACAGAGCCGGTTAACGGGAAAAAAACCCATAAGTACTATAGAAACAACCACCAACCTTTCCAGTTGCATACGACTCTGTGACAGAACCCCGCAAACACTGAGTGCAATTAATGATTAATACTCCACGTTCCGTGGCAGCTTTTAGCTCCTGAAGCAGGTCAATACGGCAGTCCGGGGCATTTCCACTGCCATATGTTTCCAGCACAATACCCTCCATTGGTGCCTGAAGGAAAGCCTTTACCTGGGAGAATAACAAGAAGGAGTGACCATCTCCACCACTAATTGAAACCATTTTAGTATGGACAACAGGAAGAATATAACCTAGTCATGACATCAGTTCACAGCCATGATTCAGAGCCCACTAGATGTGCAATTTAAGGTAAAGACACAGGTTCACTTTAATGGTTGCCCCAACAGCAGCTTACACTTCTCCCCCTCATCTGCTTCCCAATTGCATCATTCGACAACTAAAAGCATAAATTAAATATTTGGGGTATGCGGAGCTCGGAACATAACCTGTACTGACAACTCCTGGTGATTGGCTGCTCAGGAACCTTGTGCTACAACATGGGTTTGAGAGAGTTTCCCCAAGGCAACACTTGATGCTTACACAGAGCTACCTCTCCTCATACCCAACAGGTGAATGCATTGGTGAAGGTGGAGCGAAATGAAGGACAGTAAACTGCTGGTGGTGGCTGCCATTTAAGAACCTGTTCCTTTACCCTGCATATAACAAAAAGTGTCAGTGACTTCCATACTTCCATCCAAACTCCCTGCAACAGACCCCTAGATGCTGTACGGACCCGCCCTGCACAGCCCCAGTGTCTGCTGCACGAGTCAGAATTCACAGCAAGTGTCTCTACTACCATGCGAAGCTCTGGGCTACAGAGATGGCCATCTAAGTATGTCAAAATATTTTGTCCACTTCCTGTGAATCCTTGCCCATCTTGAATCATAGTACTGATCAACATATTTGTATCATCAAAAACACTACAAATAGTAGGAAAACAATAAACACAACAAGATGAACTTTAAATACTGTCCTGTTCTATTTTAAACCTCCTGGCAAAACCAAAACAAGTATGCCTTGTGAAAGTAAGGTAATGAAGGAATAGCCTTACAGTGGCAGCAGTAATTCCAGGGAAAATTCGGAGCAGGCCCACATTTCTGTTCATGTCTGTGTGCACCAGGAACTTCTTGATGGTGTTTGATCGCCAAACAGTCTCCCAGTTAACTGAAAAAAATCAAAAAGCCTGTTAGCATTCCAACATCAAAAAAGATCCATTATATTCTATACAAAGGGGTCTTGTGCAAAAGTCAGAATAAATTCCCTTCCTTCTGCTTATCTAAAAGAGAAAAAAAAAATGAGAAACAGATTGCAAAGACAATAAATAATGGCCATGTGTACTTTCCTTTCAGATGCTCATCCAACTATGAGAAATAAAAAGTACCATAGTATAATCTATAACAAACAGCCAGAGGTTTCTGTACATAACTCAAATAAAAGATGACACCTGAACAAATCAGATTCTGGCATAAATATCTTTTGAAGGTGAAGAGATGTTTAAAGTGGACCTTTACCCCCTCTTTCCAAAAATGACATTGGCATGCAGATCTGGATGCCGATATGAAATCATTTTACATTCATGAGTTTGCCTTTACATACAATTACTCTTTTTCCACTTAGTGGTTGAGTGAGGCACTGGTGATGTAGCCCCAGACACAAAGATGCATCCTGGGAAGGCTACATCACCAGTGCCTTCCTGGCAAATCTTATCTGCAAAATCTGAGGGGAAACATTGGCCTTCGTTAAAATGGCCACTATGAGAAGACCGTGGAATAAAAAGAAAAATAAAGTATGCAAAGAGTTATCTATAACTATCTGTTTATAGATTCCCATTACTATAACATTGCTAAAAAGGTGCCTTTTTTTGTTATTTTTTAAGATAAAGGTGAAGTTCCCCTTTAAACAAAAGGGCAAGTGTTAGCATGAAGGTTACAGTGTAAGTTGGTACGAACTGGTATGCAGCACTGGTGGATTGGTTTTCTTAGCAGAGTTTGTTGTCTAAGAACTAGGGCTGTGGAAATTAAAGATTAATTTCTCGAATAAAATTATTTTGATCGCTAATGAAAACACTCACCTCTCCGCTGGCTTCCGGGAGTCCCGTCGGCGATCACGTCACCGGACTCCTCCCCCAAGTGGCTCCGTCAGCTAACGAAGGGAAGGGGGGAGGAGTCCGGTGACGTTGATGTCCGTTACGGCTAACGAAGGGGAGGGGGAGGAGTCTGGTGACGTCGATGTCCGTGACGTCATGCATTATAATTAATCGAAATTAATCAATCAATTTTAAAAAATTTTGATTAATCGAACACGAAAATTTTAATCATTACCAGCCCTACTAAGAACCATTCTCTGTGCCGAAAACTACCGCGGTTTTGTCATCTCATTGTATACTACACTTCTCTATTACTAGTTATGAGTTGGAGTGTACACACCACTTCTGCCTCTGCAATACATTACGATCACCAAAGCCAATATACAGTACAACAAAACTGTAACCAAAGCAACAACTTAATTGTTCATTTCCCTTCTACATAAAGCCATAGGCAACACCTTTGGTTCTTTAACACTATAAAAGAAAACATGTCTTCATATTTCATTCACTGTTTTCAAGCATACAGAGATATGTATGAATAGGAATATGTTTTCTCCCCATAAAGGAGAAGTGTTCAATTATACTATGTAGCTACAGTATATAGGTCAGTACCTTGCTATTCAGCTTTCAGTACAAACTGTCATTGTCCTTTGTAGCAGAACGCTATGCCTGAGTAAAAGTGAATCAAGGTAAAAGGTTGAATGTGACGGATACTAGCTTTGGTTGACAATCAGACACCCAGTTATTTACTATGGATCTATTTTTAAGACATATTATACAGAAAAAAAACCCCCGTACTCCAATGTTCCTCTCAACATTAAGAGCATCAGGAAAGTAAAGTAGTGACAAAACCTTTACCATTTATAACAACAAGGAGGCCATAGTGAGACATATTATTCTCAATAAATGTATAGTTTGTTTGGTTTTAACCAAACATTGTTTACATTTATTACAAAAACAGGATTTTTGTACACTGAAAAATTATTTTTCATCCACTGAGGACACTGGAAGTCTTGAGCTTCAGGGTGTCCAAGAGCAAGCTTGCAAATCTGGGAATTAGAAGCTTGATGCTAAAAAGCACAAGATAGTGCTCAGATCCCTAGTGGTGTGATTGTAAAAGGTTGAAACCATATCCCTGAGACCATCAGCCTGAATGGTGTATCTGAGCCACCTAGAGATGGGGGAAGGAGAAGATGGGGGAAGGAGAAGCTGGGGGGGGGGGCATCCAAAACCAATGTCCTGAATAAGGTGAAAGGCAGACACTACCACAGGTAAGAAGGAACTCCTGGGCCACAGGACTCCATCTCTATGCAAGCCTAAAAATGATTTTTTTGCAAGATATAGTCACCAGTTCAAACACTCACCTTACCGGAGTGATAGATACAAAGAAAGCAACCTTATGGGTAAAGGTAGAAAAAGGAATGTCTCCCACAGAGTCATGAGTGGAGACTGGAGGTGTGAAGGAATATGGATCATATCAAGAAAATGTATTTTCCTATGTTTGAATTTGTTTAATTTGCTTCCTAGCTTTGTGACTTTCCTTACTCGGCTTTAACGTTGCTACGCGTAACCAAGATGTATCCTGTATCCGGAAGTGCGCCGAGGATGCATGAAAAGAATGCAGAGGGAGGATGCTGCAGGCAGAAGATATCTTTGACTAAACAATTAGCGAGAGACACAAGACTTTAACAGCTCCTCTAGTTTACCCAATAGTACAAGACATTTAGAGATAACAGATGTGGGCATATGTGTGACGAACACTCTCCTGTTTTCTGTGTATAAAAGAGAGAGACCGCCCTGAATAAAGAAGGAGCCTCATAAACCTTAACCCTGGGTTTGTTATTTTTCCGGGGCACCGCATACAACAAATTAGGAACAGCAGCAGATTTCTTGTGTGAACCCAGTTGTGGTTCTGATCCATTTCAGAGGAACCACAGGAAAGACCCCCTGCTTAAAAAGGTGTTAATCAGAGAGTGTCAAGCCAACAGTCTCAAACAGAATGGAAGGTGCAGAGAGTTGACTTTTGATGGTACTATGAGCCAAATGTTGGTCAAGACCCAACTGCAGGATGAAAAGTATCCATCGCACCGAGGAGGTTTCTAGAGTGGAAACCCCTGGACTCATACCAAGTAAAGTATGCCTTTCATGTTCATGTTACATACGTTGTGGAAAGTGGACTTTCCAGCCATAAGCACTGTATGAATCACAGACTCAAAGATATCCCTATCATTCAGAACCTGGGCTTCAACAGTCATGTCGGTAAAACCAGACACTGAGAAGTAGAATGGCAAATCGGCATTTGGGATGGTATGACAAGGCTCACAGTCCATCCTAGAAGTCTTACAAGATTGGCATACCACATCCCCATGCACCAACAAGGTGCCAGGCGCTCAAATCAACAGACGTGCTCCCACTCTGGCAAGTGGGGTGAGCCTTTAGTGCAAGAAGGTTTGTCTCACGATTTGCCACACGTTATGGGTGATTGGGAAACCAAGATTGGAGGGCCTTGATGCTGAGGAAGTTAATAACCCAAGGAAGTGGAGAAATTAAAAGGGATGTTTTTTTTGTCTCTTTATAAATAAAGCATAGTAAGGAAACCACAAACAGAAAACCGTCCAAACATATCACAAGAAGTACACAAATACAAAAAAAAAAAAGAGAAGAGCACAAAAAACTGGTGATGTGAACTCAGTCAAATAAGAGATAGGGCGCTCCCGCCCATGCCCTACAGATTTTTCGAATTTTAAAATCAAGAAAAAAGATCAAATGACAAAATGTCCCGTTTTAAGAAACCATATTATAAGCAAAATAGTGCATAAACAACAAACCTAGAGATCGACAAAGTCAGAACAGGTAAGAAGGAGAAAGAATAAAAGAAAGCCCAAATAAACAAAGAGCAGGCTCCTTCCCTCAGACACCCCACCAAATCCAACCCAAGGCAGCCCAGAGGGACCCCTCAACGTGAAGCAGAAAGGAAAGCATGGCACCTAAAAATCTCAACAAAGTGCCAACCGACCCCTCGAGTAAATCGGTAGATTCCCAGAAATGAAACCAAGTCGCCTTAAGTGGCCACAAATTTATCCCAGGTTCCTTGGAAAGCCGAGGTGAGGTCTTCCATCAGCTTAATGTCCTCCACCCACATTATCCACATCTGCACAGTAGGAGGATGAGTCTGCTTCCACAAGGCTGGAACGCAGGCCCCAGCAGCATTTATAAGGTGGATCAACAAGAAGCGTTTACAAGCCTTCCGTGATAAAGGGGTAAGGTGGATTTAAAAAAAACAAACTGAGGGATCCACATCCAAATAGACACTAGTCTTAGCAATTAAGTCAGCTATGCTGATCCAAAAGGGTTTAATCTTGGGGAAAACCCAAAAAATATGTTTGAGAGTACCAATATCCTCAAGATGGCAAGGGGATGATTAATGCTCAAAAAGGGAGACAACTTTTGCTCATTAGGCTTCATTAGCTGGGAAAGAGGACTGCTCCTGCCACTAGTGACATCCTTGAGAACATCTGGAGCTGGTGAGAAGAGGCACTATCGATGTGGATCAAACAAGACAGTTCCACAGTCTAGCATTTTAGCTAACTCATCCTATGCATATGCACGGACAGGAAACGCATGTGAGAAACAAGGTGGGAGACTTCCAGTATGCCATCACAGCTGAAATTTAGCACCACAGCAATCTGTTCCACATGTTCAATAAGCAGAGGGTCAATGGAAGTGGTGGTGAGATCCCTTTTCCTAATGTTAAGTCATGACCAGAATAGGGTCCAGGACGGGACCCACCTGTGCATTCTCTGAAGCTGGAAAAAAAACATTGCTCCTCTAAAAAGGTGGCCATACACTGTACAACCATCGCAAGACCTTAGTCTTGCGATGGTTGTAAAGGGATTAAAAAAACGTACAATCTGCCCATCTTGGACGGGCAGATCGCACTCTCGATCATCGCAAGCCACGCCCCGAGGGGCGGGCTTGCGATGACTGTAATGAGGGGCAGGCTTACGCTGACTGCAAACGGGCAGTGTGCGCGTGCACACACCGGCCCGTTCGGCAGTTGTCGAACCAGCAGGCCACCAACTCGCCGAGAATCGTACGATTCCCGGCGGGTTTTCAAACATGCTGGTTCGATGGAAGACGTGCGACTGTACAGTAGAAACGGTCGCATGCCTTCCATACACTGCACGATTCTTGTACGATCGCGGGATTTCCCGCGATTCTCGTACGAGAATCGTGCAGTGTATGGGCACCTTAATAAAGCAAACATGCCAAATAGAATAACTCACAGCAGCCAATAAAAATTAATCTTTAAATTGTTCTGGACGCTGTAAACGGATTTTAAAAGTGACCTCTGACTGGCCAATATTAAAGCATTTTGTACATCATCAATAGATTTTCAATTTACCAAGTAGTTGTAAAAATTCACATAAAAGATTTTACAATGAACAACAGCACCTAAAATAGCACCTCCCTAAGGAGTGGCGCATCCACTCCAAGTTATGAAATCAAACAAGACCAGCGGCTTTTAATAACAGCCTTGCGCCAGCCACACAAACAGGGCAGATCAGCCCCCTGTCACAAACAGAAAAGCCGGTTCAGCAACCACATCAACCTGACAAAACCTTGTCATGTTTTCTCTTAGTATTCAAGACACAAGACTGGTAGGGGTGAATTAAGATGGAGAGCACAATGAAACTAGTGCAAACCATATCATACATTTGAAATAACCTGCAAAAATTCAAATCTACACCCCTTCCCTATAAAATATTGTATGAAGAGTACACGTGACTCATTACTGAATGGAATGTACCGGATCAAAAGCTATGCCACAATTGTTCTACTCGCCACCACATTGGTAAATTGGTCCACCCAGTCCCAAGCCAATTACAGACAGGTTGGCGACTTCACTTTTCTCTGCTGCAGTTAATACAGCTTAGTCGCCTCCACAGCCAACCTGCACCTTGTCTGTAATTAGACAATATCTTATTGTAAGTCTGCATGTTTCTTGTCAATACATGGGCATGCAGTACTGGCCGCAAGTTCTCACCCAAAAGATCTGAGGTTGATCTAAAGACAGATTTACGTACTTGTATTATCAAGAAAACAGGAGCCAATTTATTTACCAGCATGTGTGTAGAGTGTTAGTGGAAACTGGTGCACCTGGATGAAACCCACATAAGCACAGGGAGGACATGCAAATTCCTTGCGGATAGTGTCTTGAACGGGATTTGAACTGGTAAGCAGAAGTGCTAACCACTACACTACAGAAATATGATGTTGGAGAATGGTAATTCCACATTGAACTATAATCCAATCTTTTGAAAGCATAACATGAGTTTAGAAAAATCATTGACTCTAAACCTAGCCATACACCTGTAGATTATCTGCAGATTTACTATGGTCAGATGGGAAAAGTGCAACAGATTCCCCCATCTACGCTAAACTGTGTGGATGGAGGAATCTCCCACTAGGCCAAGCTTCAGGATCTTGCTAGTCGGCCCCGCTGGCTCTCACAGTACCAGAACAATCTGATTAGGTATTTTGACATCCATCGGGGTCGACTCGCAAGATACTGAAGCTTGGCCCAGTAGGAGATTCCTCCATCCACACAGTTTAGTGTAGATGGAGGAATCTGTTGCATCCATCTGAGCATAGAAAGTCTGCAGATAATCTATAGGTGAATGGCCAGCTTTACACGTCTTAGGGAAGAGTAAAATATGCAGCATGAGCAGAACTCGTGATAAAGTAATCCCTGTTTTCTATAATAATTTTATTTGGAAGTAAAACGCCATTTTTTTGGGCAGTTTGGGAAAAAGTGAAACCTGACTGTATTACCAATGGGAAGAAGATTTCCTCTCACAGTGGGAAAGGGGCTTGGAGCATTTCCCTCACTTCCTAGAGGGCAGGTTACTTGCAGCCTGATGCATGAAATGTGTATGGCATCAACAGCAATGCCCTTGTGTCTACTGCACTAGTAGTTTTATCTGGGGAGTGACTAACCAGCATGCCTGAAAGAATGTACAAATCAGTTGCACCCTTTTGGTGCATAAGGAGAACAGAACAGTCATAGATCTTTTTTCTCTAACATTTCTCTTACCAAATGGCAGCTTAATAAGAGGAACAAATAAGAAACCTCTTTTCTGCCACAAAGCTCAATCTTTCATTGTTACAGAAGTAGCTTAGGACCGATCACAAACCAGTTTAACGATCTCACTAAGCCTCCACTCCTAAAGAAGAAAGCCAGCGACTCTTCTATGTGGCACAAATTACAGGGATTATGTGGCTGGGCAACTTACTTGTAATATCAACTTCAGCATTTGCAAGTGGAGGCAAGTTGGGAGAAGAGAAGGCATTGAAACTTCCTGCATCCACCTTCGTCACCCGGTTTCCCCTGTACAGCTTGTGATGAAAATACAGACACACCTGAAAAGCAAGAGGAGACACAGAACATGTGTACAGACTCAATATACCAACCTTGTGCGTAATCACTACAACAGTGTACACTCGCAATATATCAGCCCTGTGTTCACACTCTACGCCTGATGACGGGGACCCAACGTGGCCCCGAAAGTACTTGTGATTTTGAATGACCGTTGTCATTAAAATATATTGAATCTACTTCTGGAGTGCTGGTGACATCTTTTGGAATTACTACTTGACTACACGGTGCCTCCGTGGTCACTACAAGCACCCTATTACAGACATCATCTCCTAGGAAATCCGGTAAGGAGTGCAGGAAGATACACACAATTTCACACTCTACGTCAGCTCACACTTTATATCAGCTTTGTGTGCACTTACTACACTGTTTACAGAGTGGCTACAATTTATCAGCCTTGTGTGCAATCACTACAGTATGTACAGACCCGCAATATATCAGCCTTGCAATTACTAATCTGCATAGCACATGGGGCTGTACATGGTAACAGTAAATATGGACACTGGCACTCCAAGTGCCGGTGTCCATATTTCCTCGGATCATTGAGACAGTGGCCATCCGTCGACTACCGTTGCACCCACCTCATCTCGATGGAAAAGCGGTTAGGTGTGCGATGGGTTTAGTACATGGTAACAGCCACAAAAATAAAATATATTTCTCCGGTGTAAGTACAAATGTGGAGTAACCCAGAGCAGACAATCAGTTTCCAAGTATAGCATAGCCAAATAAGTAAAAGATGAATTCTGATAGGTTGCTGCTGTTTTTCTCTTTCTGCGGGTTTCCTGAACTGCCCTGCAAGTAAAAACTATAGAAAAGTTGTGTCCAGATTTCTTCTTTAAGATAACAGTCAGTAACTGGAAAAATCCTAATGGAAGCTACCAGCAGTTGAAGAGGTTTTATAATCGCCTCTCTGGCAGCCAGCGTCTACTACCTTCCCTCCATATAGCCGCTGTGGCCTTGGAGGATAAAGCCACAGTATAGAAGGGAACGCAGACATCCAAAAGGCTGCAGCTCTTGAACAGAGCAAAGGTAGCAGACATGAGCCACCAGATAGAGAAGTATAATAACTATTACAAGAAAGGATTTTTTCCACCTTTAACCACATCAAGACCTGCTACAGGACTGTCATGGCTATCCTCCTTTCATTCCTTGGTCGGTCACAATTTGGGATGAGGCTGGGTTTGGCCAATCCCACTCAAAACTCTGACCGCCATCCCAATCCATTGCAGGGAGGCGCATTTTCTGCTCTGCAGCTATATGTCACTAAGGGGATCTTTCTTCACATCAGCCTATAATCCTCTGTACAGCACCACTTGATCTGGGAGGGAAGGAACGGCAAAATTAGATAAAGTCTGAATGCTTTACAGCTATGCTTGTTCCGACTATTGAAGGGAAGTATTAGCCTGACATCTAGGCAAATATAGCATTAGCAGATACCTAACAAAACATCAAGGTGCCTTATAATGTACTAGTGTACACCTGGCTGTGCTGTTTGACAGGGTTGCTTGGATTACAAAGTTGGCTTTAGCAGGACTACAAATCCTGTGACTGGTAGCAAGGTAGTTCATATATATTTCACCTGTATATTTAATGGGTTATATGGCGATCATACAGAATTAGATAGGAATACTGTAAATAATATTGGTATTCATTTTAACAGTCCTTTGGCCAAAAAAAACGTGCCAGTTGTCGGTTCTTCACACGCACACAGAAAGCACCATCAGCACAAGTGATGTGTCGCTAAGCAAGGCTGACATTTCCATACAACATAGTACGGTGATGCCGAGAGATCAGGCATTGCTGAGCTCTGTGCATTTGTGTGTACGGTGTTTAAGGTGGATTAGTGACATAAGCCATGCTAAACACTTTATACACATTAACTCCCTGTATGTGCTACATTTCCCTACTTATCATTCCGGCAGTAACACATTATTTTTTCTGGTGACATCTGTTGAGGCTGAGAAATGCAAAATATAAAACGTACCCAGAAATAGATTTACAGATTGGGGAAAAATAAAGAGCGGAGCCCGGACTCAATTCTGCTACATGGAGGAGGTCATAATATTAATTACATGAAATCTGTATGGAGACATACAAGGCTGCCATCGCTGGCTTGCTTGTGAAAACCCTAGTTGCCTGGCTGTCTTTGGTTTCAAAACTTTTCAACCCACACACCTGGAAGAAGCATGCAGCTTATGAATGTCATATAAAACAAACCCCAAAGCACTTGATTAAACCAAGAAATAGGATAGCATGTTTTTACCTCACTCACCCCTAAACCTCTTATTGTCATACTCCCTCCACTATGTCCCTTCTCCTGCAGCAGGAGAGAGTTGTACACTTACTGCTTAAGATGATGGGGATCGATCTGCTGAAGTAGCCCTATGGGTCCGCCAGGAGCAGGGGTCTGTTAGCAGCAGCAACCTCTGCCATACTTATTGCTATGCCACTGTGTATATTCCGCCAGCAGAGGTCTTCCCTACTCTTTACCCCCTTCAATAAAACTTTAGAAGCTGGCTCCTAAGCTTTTCTGCTGCTTCTAGGCATTTTCTGGTCCAACACTAGGAAACCCACAGCTACATAAATGTCTCATATGCAGGGCACGAAAATCCACTCGTCTGCGACGAGCAGACAGTGGAGCCCGACGAGCAGCTTCCTGGGCCGGCCGTTGTAATTACACGGCCGGCCGGGAGCTTTCAGTCAAGCGATCGAGCGTCTCGAGAGACGCTCGATCGGTTGTATCAGAAGCTGTCCCTGCCAAAGCATAACATTAATTTTTTTAAGTCCGCGCCCCCCACATACAAACGCATATATGAATCAGGTGTGCCTACGTTGCATATTGCCGCAAACTGAGTGAGAGCAATAATTTTAGAGCCATTAAGGCTGGGTTCACACCTGGGCGTTTTGCAGCGCTGATCAATGTAATGTGGGTGAAAACCCCTCTGGAAGATTGTCCTCACCTCTAGTCAACAGGCCTGTTTGGCCAGGATTTGCGGAAGATGTCTACAGCCAGTCAGAGTAGGGGCTATCCAGTGTCAAAAGCCACCACTGCCTACATTGGAGCCAGGTAGATTCTGAACATGACCAACATGTATTCAAACTGGTAGTTTATTGGATACCGAATCTACTACGATACAAATTATTTTATTTTAAAAGCAGCAGGCCCCGTACAGACAGCATGATACACATTTAGAAGGTATGGGTAAAACATTCTCTTTAGAATGGGCAATAAACTCGCATGTCGGGGGGAAAATATCTGCTGTCATGAAGGGGTGCGTTGTATATAAAAGCTGAGAAAAACAGATTAGGAGAATCCGAAAGCAGCAATAGTGCTACTCATTTTTTTATATTTATTATGGGCATGTAATGCCTTTACAGGTCGGCAAAGTTCAGTATTGCTGCTGAATGAAGATGGGGTCTCAGCTGACTGAAATTATTCTCCATGACCAGAGCTTTCTGTCCCCATCTGCAGCTCAGCACATCTACAAGATTGTAATGAATTTACAGCTTGATTACGGGGAAATATGGTTTTTCGAGATTAAACAGAAGTTCCTCTCATCACGACACACACCTAAGTACGTTTTAGTTAGAATCGCTCACTTCAGATGAATTCAAAGGACATTCACTACACAAACATTGTATTAGTAATCATCTTTGTTTTCATTCCCAAACATGTATTCATTTAGTACAACAAGCTGATATTTCAATTGTGTTTCTTTGCTAAGGTCATCAAAATGCACTTTGTCTGACAAGTGCTCGCAAATCACGGACAGCAGAAGACTGTAGTACTATGCTGCCCCCTAGTGTTAAGATTGCACAGGTACACCGTGACTTCACAAATAGCTGTTCAAAATAGTATAGAATATAGAGCATTTAGTTCACAGATGGTCCAAACCTCACCTCTGGAATAACAAACTGCCCGGCAATCAGAAGAGCCCCCAACAGGTTGTCTCGACCATCATTCCGCATCTCATAAATTGGAACCTAGGAAATATTTTAAAAAATTAAGAAAAAAAAAAAAAAAGGAGTTCAATGATAAACAACCTAAAATACTCATTTGTTTTGTGCAAGAGCTGCTTTTACTATTCGGTTACATTTTCTATGAAAAGCAGTATGGCTTCATGTTTTATCTTTTCAGTTATTTAGGATAACAGTTGTAGCAGCCATCTACAAATAATCCAGACAGAGAATACCTGTGTGTGTAGAGAAATGTCTTCCCCCTGGACAGGGGCGTATCTGCCGCGAGGCAAACAAGGCGTTTGCCTCAGGCGGCAGATTCCGGCAGGGCGGCAAATGTACCGGCCCGCGAGCCGG